GAGAACTCACGATCGATGGCACTCTGTTACAACGACTCAGATATTAGCACCGACTAGACGTAGCCAATGACACGGACCAGAGACACTAGCGCCGACACGGACGTCCATATCGATGGCACGCTATTACAGAGATATGGAATTCACTGAAGTAGAATCCATGAACGACTACCTATTTTTATGAAGGAAAACTGGCAAATACCTATAGTATGCTAGGGCTTACATCGGAAATGACATAATAAAATGCTTGAATGAAAAGGACTGAAAAGATAAAAAGCTATATCGAAAATGACACAATGAAAGGAACAGAACTGGAAAGAAAGAAAAAAAAAAGAAAAGATAAAAGGCGTCGGAGGCCTTGTGTTGTTGTTGATGTGATCGTGAGATGATTATGATGTTGCGCGGCTGCCTTCTTATATAGAAAGGATTACGGCGCAGCTTTCTTGGAGACAAAGGTAGGTCGGCCGCTTCTTGATTCTTTAAAAGAAAAGACTTCAACCCGGAATAGACTTCTTGTCACTTTCCCATATTAACCCAAATCCGACTGTGAATGGAATTAGCAATCAAATAAAACACCCTAATTATAGGAAACATCTCATAATTAACTATGTCGGCGGTTGATCATGTTCACACTTCCGACTTGGACGCACTGTTGATTTCCATATTTCATTATTTGCGGGCCGGTTCATATCACTTGTTGGGTTGACACCATTGACGAAATTGGTGTCAACATAAAGCCCCCCGAGGCACAATGTATTTGGAACAAATACTTTGTACCTGTGTAACCAAATTCGGGCCAACAATGAATCGGCCCGTTGATAGTAACACCTGATGATGCTCTGTCGAAGGATAACTGCTGGATCTCTGTCGACTGGAACACCTGCAGTGGCTAGCCCCCCGAGACTTTAGAAAAAATAGTTTTTTTTTTTTGAAAAATGAAAAGACTCCCATGATGTAAAAATCAAATCAAAACTCGTCCCACTAGGTGCGCACAGTGGCTTGTTCTGAATATTTTTATGTTTGAGAGATTTTTATCCTTCGCTTCTTTCCCACGGTTGAAGGTGATTTTCTTGGCACAAACATAATGGCACGCCCAGTGAGACGAGCTTTGGTTTGATTTTTACATCGTGGGAGTCTTTTTCCTTTAAAAAGAATCTATTTTTTTTAAGTCTCAGGGGGCTAACCACTGCAGGTGTTCCAGTCGACAGAGTTCCAGCAGTTATCCTCCGACAGAGCAGCATCAGGTGTTACTATCAACGGGCCGATTCATTGTTGGCCCGACTTTTGGTTACACAGGCACAAAGCATTTGTTCCAAATACATTGTGCCTCGGGGGGCTTTACGTTGACACTAATTTCGTCAATAGTATCGGCCCAACAAGTGATATGAATCAGCCCGCAAATAATGAATAATGGAAATCAATAGTGCGTCCGAGTCGGAAGTCAGAGGAACCCGGGAGTGTGAACATGATCAACCACCGACATAGTTAATTATGGGATGTTTCCTATAATTAGGATGTTTTATTTGATTGCTAATTCCATTCACAGTTGGATTTGGTTTAATATGAGAAGGTGACAAGAAATATTTTCCTCCAAGGAATCGAGAAGCGGTCGACCTACCTTTGTCTCCAAGAAAGCTGCACCCTAATCCTTTCTATATAAGAAGGTAGCCGCGGAACATCATAATCATCTCACGATCACATCAACAACAACACAAGGCCTTCGACGCCTCTTTTATCTTTTCTATCTTTTCTTTCTTTTCAGTTTTGTTCCGTTCATTATGTTCTTTTCGATATAGTTTCTTTATTTTTTCAGTCCTTTTCATTCAAGTCTTTTGTTATGTCTTTTCCGATGTAAGCCCTAGTATACTATAGGTATTTGCCTGTTTTCCTTCATAAAATTAGGTAGTCGTTTATGGATTCTACTTCAATGAATTCCATATCTCTGTAATAGCATGCCATCGATATACCATCGATCGTGTCTCTGGTTCGTGTCGCAGCGTGTCATCGGTTACGTCTAGTCGGATCTAATATCTGAGTCGTTGTAATATACCATCGATCGGGAGTTCCATGTCGGCGCTAGATCTTATTTTTTTTCGTTTATATATAAATCGAGCAACTTGGCTTGTTCCACTATCTATTTCTTCTTTTTATTTTTACAAACCAAAGTAAACCGTAAGTCCTCGATTCCTAGTCCAAGGCTTGTTTTCGAACTCATCCACAATCGTTTTGAATACTTTTATGTTTGAGAGATTCTTACCCTTCTTTTCTTTCCCACGGTTGAAGGTAATTTTTTCAGCACAAAGAATATTTGGGCGGTCTTTGAATCCCAAGTTGGAGAATAGTCAACAAGGGTTGCCCAAGTGGTAGTGGGCATGTCATCAAAACTTAAGGTGCCAAGAGGTCTCAGGTTCAAACCCCGCTAGGAGCACTTTAAGTGCTGTATATGTGGGCTTGCAGCCAGAAGGCCAGAGGCAGTCCCGGAAGTCAGCTTGCAGCGCAGGAAGGCGTGGAGTCTCTCGCTAGTAGTAGTATCCTCTTCTCTCAGTAGACCTTACAAATATAATAGTCTAAAATACCTATAATAGTATATATATATATATATATATATATATATATATATAAAGTTGGAGAATAAAAAAAGGACTATAATGGTAGCATGGTACAGTGTTGATCAAGGTGACAAATGAAACTATAATGATAAATTCAATCCTACTTAAGGCATAGTTTCAAATTAAATAGTTAATTTTTTTTTTATTTATGTGAAATGGGATTAAGAGCATGAACTTAAAGATGGCAAAAACTTATCTCATGTGGACAACTTGATGACAAGTTTAACTATTTAAGTAGTTTGTCTTAAGACGTAAAACATTTCATGTAAAACGAAGCGATTCCACATTCTCAATTCTTTCTAAGCTAACATTAATTAAAATTTTTAAAATAATACTTTTCTAAATTTTCATTCTAAATTGTCGATAATAATGATTAATGATCTCAAAATAAGATGTACAACTAGACAACATCAAACTGGGCCCATGGTTTGCTTTAAGATCGACAAAAAGCCCGATAAATGTAATTTGGGCCTCGTAGACCCTTCGGCAAAAAGATGATGGAAACAATAAAGAGCAGTGAGTGAATGCCCAAGTTATTTGATCACTTTAGCGAAGAACAGTCTATTAAAAAAGCTTTCTGGAGCTTGTATATCCAACATTACAATTACTGTAGAAAAATAGACCAGTATCATGAAAAAAAAAACTATCAAAAAATTATTCAGTTGACAAAAAGTTAAAGCTAATTTGATTAAAATGCTCTTACTCCTGGAATAATTTAATTGAATTTATGTGAGAATTATGCTTCCTTCTTTGTAAAAAAAAAAAAAGGGACCAAAATATCATGATACTATCTCCGTCATAAAAAAATAGTTCAGTTTTAGAAATGTAAATCTTAAAATTAAATTTATTAGATCGGTATAACATAAAATTGATAAGTAGTCATGAAACTTATATTCAATTTTTCATATTAAATTTTTAATTTAAAAGATTAAGTCATTTAATTTTTATATTTTAGTATTTCAAATTGGACTATTTTTCTGAGACGGAAGGAGTAATAAATAGAGATACGTGAATGTTTTGAAATGGAAACGAACTAATCCAAGCACAAATAAAAATTTTGTTGATAATTACTGGTTATATCTTTATGGAGCTTTCCAAAAGTTTAAAAGTCGTAATTAGGCAATGTAGATTAATTTTGGGGGACGAAAAAATTATAAGGGTGAAGGAAAAAAACATTTTTCATAGACTTGCCATGCCAAACCCCCCAACCAAAAAAAAAAAAAATAAACATCAAAGAAATGGTCTGACAGAATAAAAAAGAGTCCAATTTCAGGATGAATATGGCGTTAAATTTGGGCCATTTATAGCTTCATTCAAGAAGCTTCTAGAACTTATGCAAATTGGGATTTTCTAGAATAATTCAAATGGGTTGTTTCCGGGCCCAAAAAAAAGATGTTCCAAGAAGTTGTAGCCTGCCGGTCGGGTTTTGAAACTGAGGTAATGGCTGACATATGGCACACTAAGGTAGAAAAAACGTCAACAAATCCAAATAAGGTACCAAAGCTCATAAAGCCATGACCAAAAATATATGCCATTTTGTTACAGTTTAAGATTCCTTTCACACACTGGACTGCTGATATCCAAATATTTTTTTGTGTACATCCTTTTTTCAACCTGGCTTTACTCCCTTCGCATTTCACCGACATGTGTCTCTAATTTCGTTAATGGACTGAAGGGCTAGCAAAATAATATTTTATATATTGTTACTATATCAATGACTAATACTTAATAATAGTACTAATCTCTCCACTCCCACAAAATAAATCATTTTATTGAAATAGGAGATGATAAAACAAATGAATTAGTCACCAACAATGCACAATGAGCCGTGGATGAACGATGTATTTTCAAAACATTATTATTATTATTATTTTGTTTGGCTTCAATTAGTTAGTTAGAGTCAGGATGAAGACTATATCAACAACATTTTTGGGGTTTATTACAGATAACATAAAGCCGCAGGCCAATAATCAAATTAATTAAATTAAACATCCCCATTCTTTTGTTAATCAAGAAAGGTATATTAATCTGGTCTTTTTTTTGGGAAAAAAAAACAGTCGTGGCCACTGCACAGTCAGCAGAACGAAGCGGCAGATGATTTTCCACGTGTACGGCATCTATTGACTATCTAGAGCGTCCTCATTTGTATTCGCAGCCTCTAACCAATCCCACCATTCCTCCCAAATTATCTGTATTCATCTCATATTTTAGCCCATATACGTAGGAACCCAAAGTAATAATAACGCTCTTCTTCTACCACTTTAATCCAGACCATTTTTTCACTGTGTACCAAACCCATCCAAGCATCTATATATTGGTCTCTTCTCCCGAGTTGGAGCTTTGGATATTACTGAAAATTTCAAATCATCTAGAAACGGAAGCGAAATAGAAAGAATGGCGTCGAAATCTTTCAAGTACGTGATCCTCGGAGGAGGTGTTGCTGCTGTGAGTTCCTACTTCTTTTCGTTCGTAACGTTATTTCCATTTTTCGATCTTTTAATTGAATTTTCTAAGCTCCTTGCACGATCGATTTATACTGGCGTTCCTTTTGTTAATAAGTTCGTGGCGTTGTAGAAGATCTGATGTTCCGTTTCTCTTGCTAGTGTTTGTTGATGAATTTTTGCGTCTTAATTCTGAAAATTTCTGCTGTTGACTTTCTTAGAAACTTTCATTTGCAAGGAATTTTACGCCTTATATGGATTTTGTGTATCTGTCAATAAGTGTAGTAGGAAGCCTGGAGCTGTAGTTTCTTCCGCGGTTGGCTTTACGGATGATGAGCATAAAATTTCTGAGATAGGTGTAAATGCAGTGCTTCAAAAGGATTTTATGTTTTTGGCAGTTTGAATATCCCAATTTGTAACATATTCTTTTTGTTTGATTTGCGGGATTAGAGTGGACTCTGGGTTGTTATGAGTTAAGGCAAATGAAAGTTGGCTGGCATATTAATTTCCTCATTTTTAAATTGTTGTTTAGAATTTTTTTGCTTTGGGCTATTCTGCTGATTTTACTCCTTTTGAATTGTTAAGTAACTTAATTGACTTTGGTTACGCACAGGGCTACGCAGCTAGAGAGTTTTCCAAGCAGGGAGTTAAACCTGGTGAACTTGCTATCATTTCCAAAGAGGCGGTATGCATTATCTCATGGATAGTTTCTCTTTATGAACCAGCTCTTTTTTTTTTTTCTTAAAAAATGATAGGTAGTCACCATTAGTTGTGCTGCGTAGGATTGGCATATATGCATTGATAAGATGTTAAGTTTTTTATTCCTACTTCTTGCTGGTAGAGTTGACGAGCATGTACTTCGGTTGTGGACTTCTGTTTCTAATATGATCTCAGATCTTGTTTTGACGACTTCTCCTATAATTTAACCTTTAAGTCTGTGAGAAGAAAAACTGTTCGATGGAGAATAGGTGTGGTCAATTTGACTAGTCAGTCTTACGAAATTTCTAAAATTGTTTTTGCAGGTTGCTCCCTATGAGCGTCCTGCACTGAGCAAAGCATATCTGTTTCCCGAGGGTAAGTCTCAGCTAGTTAAAGTATTTGCGCTTTGCTTAGATCTCCTGCCTTTTTCTATTTGTTGAAGCTACCGTTATTGATGTTTTCTCAATCTCAACAGGAACTGCTAGGCTCCCTGGTTTCCATGTTTGTGTTGGAAGTGGAGGGGAAAGGTTGATTCCTGAGTGGTATTCAGAGATGGGTATGGATCTGCAAAAATAATGTTTTCATATGGTGTTCATTATGCATTAAATGTATCTGTTATTTGATGTTTACTAATTCAACTTGTGGTTTCAGGAATTTCCTTGATTCTAAGCACAGAAATTGTGAAAGCAGACCTTTCTGCTAAGACACTTGTTAGTGCAGCTGGTGAAACATTTCAGTATGAAATACTGATTATTGCAACTGGCTCCACTGTAAGTTCATAACTTCCAAAAACAATTTATTTAGGAGACGCCATTAATCGGTTACCCTTTGCTTCTAACATAGGATGTTTTCAGGTTTTGAAGTTGTCAGATTTTGGTGTGCAAGGGGCTGATGCAAAAAGTATTTTTTACTTACGAGAAATTGATGATGCTGACAAGCTCGTAGAAGTAATAAAAGCTAAGAAAGGTGGTAAGGCTGTTATTGTTGGAGGAGGATACATTGGTCTTGAGCTTAGCGCAGCACTGAGGGTTAATAACATTGATGTCACCATGGTTTACCCGGAGCCCTGGTGCAGTAAGTATAAATCCAATACTAAGTTCAATTGTGTTTTTGTTACTGAGTATTTAGTTGACGTCAATTTCATGCCATCAAATCCATAAAGATGAATGTCTGGAAAAGGAACCACAGTACCAGTTTCATGGAACAAGTGGTTTTTTCTTGGAATAAGTAGTTTAAATAAAGAGTAAAGTAATAGTGCCATTATGAAACTAGTAATATCTTTCTTTTCAACAATAAGTGGAAAGAAGGAAATGATTAAGGGATTGTTATGTTCAGAACAGAGGCATTTTCTCTTATTATTTCTGGAGCCTCACAGTTAACCTTGACTCCTGTTCTTTACTTTAATATTTCAGTGCCTAGGCTATTCACAGCTGGTATAGCTGCATTTTATGAGGGTTATTATGCAAAGAAAGGAGTCAACATCATCAAGGGAACTGTAGCTGTAGGGTTTGATACCCATGAAAATGGGGAGGTAGGCATTAATTGTTATTGGCCTTTTTTTTTTCCTTTCTTCGTGTTAATTCCTTGTTAGGATTCATATAACCTGTGGAATTGAGAGCAATTTTAGGTAAAATTCCTCCTTCACATCTTTCAGGTGAAGGCCGTCAAACTCAAGGATGGAAGGGTGCTGGATGCTGACTTTGTTGTTGTTGGTGTTGGAGGAAGACCACAGATATCTCTATTCAAAGGACAAGTAGAGGAGGAAAAAGGTGGAATTAAGGTATGCTATTCCCATCCTCCTACTCCTTGGAGGATTGCCTTATTTTAGTAATGAAATTAATCAAAGTTGGTTTGTTTGCGTCACTCTTGATCTGTCTTACCCCTGATGACGTGATTCTGAAACTAATTTATTGTAATGCTGCAATACCAATATATGACTTATGTAGATCTGTGTTCAAAATCATCTTGGAAGTTCAGTTAATTAATTAAATGGAGAATCGTCTGAAGTTCTTCTGTAATGTATCTAAAATTATTGTGTCAGTTAAACTATGTGTATATGATAGATAGGATGGTTATCTTTTTCTCCTTATCATTAGTTCTTTAAGTTTTATATTGTCCGTTCTTTTGAAAAGTGTGGATATTAAATCAGAAATGATAATTTGTTTCAGACTGATGGATTCTTCAAAACAAATTTGCCTGATGTTTATGCTGTGGGTGATGTTGCTACGTTCCCTCTGAAACTTTACAATGAGATCAGGAGAGTTGAACATGTTGATCATGCTCGCAAATCTGCGGAACAGGCTGTTAAGGTAACTTATAACTTCTCCCCGTCGTTTAGTTTATGTAGGAATTTATATTGCCTCCACTAATTTGACCTACATTTATAATGAAACCTTAGAAGTTCCACAGAAATTGACAACACTTGGAATTGTGTGCGGTTTTGAACCATGAACCATGCTTGCCCCCCTCCCTCTCTCTCTCTCTCTACATGAACCCAGATTTCTTTCACCAATTAATTTCTTGGCATGAACTTCGAACTTTAAAGTATATTTTGTGACAACGCTTCGCTAGCATAGTCCCCTTTTCTCATAAGCTGAACAACTTCCTGATTTACTTTGTGGCTTTTGAAAAGCTATTGATGCATGAGTTGAATGTAAAACAGGTAAAATTATACAATGTGTTTTTTGCTCCAGATCTGATATTAGAAATGCTATAGATTTCTCATCATTGCAACCTGTCTGAAATTGGAAATCAGCTTATAATGCAAAATATTCAAATGCAAAACAAAAATCTCAATATCACACATCTGATTGAGCAGGCAATTTTTGCAAGTGCACAAGGGAAAGCAATTGATGAGTACGACTATCTTCCGTACTTCTATTCTCGTGCCTTTGATCTGTCATGGCAATTCTACGGTGACAACGTGGGAGACACTGTACTGTTTGGCGACAGCAGTCCAGATTCATCAACTCACAAGTTTGGATCATATTGGATCAACAATGGAAAGGTTGTCGGTGCATTCCTGGAGAGTGGCACCCCAGAGGAAAACAAGGCGATAGCCAAAGTCGCAAGGGTGCAGCCTGCAGCCGACAATTTGGAGGCATTGGCAAAGGAGGGACTTACCTTTGCCAGTAAGATTTAAATACTTGCAGGGGATTTTGTTATCAGTTATGATTATACCATTTACCAGGGCAGGTTGAATAGATAGACATTTTATCATTGGCTTTTAGCCTGTGAGTGTGAAGTTGAATATTATGGATTGCATTTGTCCTTGGAACTTTTCTCCCTTTATCTGCCAGGACTTGTGTAAATAATGAGCTATTGAAATAATCGGCTTAGTCTCTCAGCCTGATACGTATTGATGCGTGATAAATTCCCATTCTCATAGCTTCCTGTGATGAACTGCAAGCTGAATGAGCACGGCAGAAAGTCCGTTCACTTTAAACTAAGCTGAATGAGTACTGCAGAAAGTCTGTTCACTATAAACTAACGCAACTTCATGGTTGTTCCAGACCTTGTTCCATCATGCCCATTTCATCTTAAGCTAATGACACTGATGTCAATAGAACAAATTTTCTAGATAAAACATACGTTAACAAATACTCCCTCCGATCCTTCTAATTAGGCATTTTGATTTCATCTCAGGTTTCACCTAAAATGTCTTTTTAATTGGGAAAAAAAATCTTTAAAATATTTTTTCACATTCATTGTGTTCTCCTAAATATTATGAAATGTTTTTAAGATTTTTATTTTAATTAAAAAGATATCCTAAGTTAAACTTAGGACGAAATTAAAATACCTTATAATAAGGACCAGAGGAGTACCATGTCAAATGCTCAAATGCGGATGTTGGTTAGGAAAAGCATAGAATTAACATTTAGGCAGCCAATATTTTGATAAATGTTCTTTGTTAAAAACAGAAATAAAAATTCTGACAATCTAAGCCCAGGAGAATTGAAGGAAGAACATATATATATATATATATATATATATATATATATATATATACACTAGTGATGTCTGGTCGCGCAATGCGTGAACCTGACCCAGTCTATCTGTAGATTTTAGAAATGTTTATATTTGAAAAAAATAAAATTTTGTATTTGGAGCGATATATTTTAGAAACGTTTGAAGGATTTAGAAATGTTTTATAAGTGTGATCATAGAAATATTTGTATTTCGCAAAAAAAAAAAAATGTATTTCACCATGTATGTTTTAGAAATGTTTTATAAGTGTTACTTATTAAATATAAATAGCTTAATCGAATATATGTGTTGAAGTAAATGTTAGATAAAATATAAAAGTATCTTAATAAATTTAAATATTAGTAAGATGATTTATTGATGTTCTACATTGGTCGTGCCAAATCAAAATATTTAGTTTTGGAGATTTTTAATAGCTTTGTAATAAGCTTCATCCGAAGGGTATACGCTTAAAACAAAATTGATACTTTGTAACAAAAAACCTAATTGATCAATTTAATTTAAAAACCACTCTAGTTGAATGAAACATAAAGAAAAAAAAAAAAACGTGTTACGTAAAGTGCAAAGAGGGATTTAGTAATTTAGTTATGGTTAGACAAAAGGGGAAATTTAATATTTTCTACATACCACGTGGCAATCACATGAGATGTTTGAAAGGGAGGTTTTTGTTTCTAATATAGTAGGATATATAACCATCCTCGTTATTGTGTAACGGCAAATAGAACCTCGAATGGAATTTGGTCCATTCAGATTTCTCTTGTGTGCAAAAAAGACTCTTGTCGAACTCCAAAAGCCTGCTATTTCATCCGTTCTGTTATGAATTATCCCGCTAGCTGCAAACTAGCGTGGCAATTTGAAAACAAATACATTAGCTCCAGCATTTAAGAACCCGCAGAGTATGATTTTGGTTCCCATTATGTTATCATGATCATCTATAAATTAATCACTTAAGTGTTTTATAAACACTTCAGTATATGTAACTCGCAAGCACATCAGTTCATTAATCTGATTATCAAAGAAAAAAAAAAGGTTCATAAATCTTAATAGCGACATTTTAACTTGTACAGTACTTAATTTAATTTATTTAAAAATATTAAATTTTGTTAAAAAATATATAAAATTTGTGTTGTAAATAAAAAAATTAACGCTGAAACATTAAAAAATGTTTGAAAAAAAAATGGAATCAGAAATAAAACACACTCCCACATTTCCACTGCTAATTTCTTGTCACATGTGGCTAAACAATAATATAGCGGACTGGATCGGAAGTATGAGCCCAATCAGATTTGTATATCCATTTTACTGGTGGGCTTTGAAGACCCAAAAACAATAAATAAAATATTTCTCCACTAAGTCCGTCTCCTAACCTAAAACCCTAGCTATATATACGGAAATCATACCTTCCCAACCTCAGTTCATTTCTGTGCGATTGCTGTATTCAGATCCGGCGTTCTCTCCAAGTACTCTCACTTTCCCTTACCTTTGTGGTTTTCTTGCCTTTATTCTTCAAATTTGCGATTATTATTGTTGAAATTTGATATTTTGCAGAGAAAAAGAAGCAGAAATGAAGGTGATTGCTGCTTATTTGCTCGCCGTTTTGGGAGGTAATCCCAGCCCTTCCGCTGCGGATATCAAGAATATCTTGGGTTCCGGTACGTTCATTCCTTACTTTTTCGTGAATAAGACCTTGTATCTGGTTATGTGTTAGTAGTATCTGTTTCTTATACAACGTAAATTATGTATTGGGATCCTTCGTGTTCGTGGAGTTTTGTTGTTGTTCATGTGGAATAATCTAGTTGGAGAAAAGCGTAGTTATGCATTTCGTTGTGCTGTTTCTGTTTTGATTTATTCTTTTGATGCAAAATTTGTTATCTTATAATTTAAGAAAGGGAAACCTGAAACAGTGCAGAGATTAATTGTGTTGACTTAGTATTGTAAATTATTTCTATGGGGTAAAGTTGCTTTAGAAACATTGTTTGTCCTATTGCTATGTTTCTTCTTTTGTTTTGAGGAAATTGTTTCCTTCAGTTGTTGATTTTTTAAGACAATGTGAAAAATTTTACATATCATGTTTATTCACGGTGACTGTGATTACTCTGTCTAAAGAGATGATTTTTGTGTTTCAGTTGGAGCTGAAGCTGAGGATGACAAGATTGATCTCCTCCTATCCCAAGTAGAGGGCAAGGATATAACTGAACTTATCGCATCTGGTCGTGAAAAGTTAGCATCAGTCCCATCTGGTGGTGGTGTTGCAGTTGCTGCAGTTGCTGCTAGCGGTGGTGCTGCTGCTCCTGCCGCTGCTGCAGAATCCAAGAAGGAGGAAAAGGTTGAAGAGAAAGAGGAGTCTGATGATGTAAGTGAATTTCTCCTTGATATTTTCAAGTATGTTTTTTCTTTATAATTTTCGTGCCCTGAACTAAGTTGGGACTTCTTTGTTGTACAACTTGTTATACTGTGTCTCAAATCAATTCACACTTGTAACTTGGAATCTGATGCATGGTTTTGTATTCTTTTTTATCATTATATGTCATACTTGCTATCTTCAGTCAATATGTAAATTCTTTGATTTGGTTATTATGGCTCCTCTGCCTCGTTTCTATCATCGCTTAGCTAGTAGCTACCTTTGATGCTGTTGAATGATTGAGTACTTCTTGTCTTTCTAAATTCATTTTTTAACTTGTTCATTGTTCCAATTCATTGCAGGATATGGGATTCAGTCTCTTCGACTAAGGGTGGACTGCTTTTCTTGGAAATCTCCGTTTTAGTTTAATTGTAAGCTTAAAATTGGTGTCCCAGTTGGCTTTGAGGATAATGTCAGTTTTTGTAGCTCTTAAGGTTATGAACTAAAGTCACGAACATATCTTATATGTTGGCTACTTTTGTTTAAATAGAGTATGACCTTGTTTCTTGAAGTGGTAATTCTGCTAGTCATCGAATTTCTTAAGCTGCACCTGTTATCTGTTTGCATTATTTGCAAGATGATGTTGTCTATATCTGAGACATCCTGGATTTAAATTTAAGCGGTTTGTATATCGGAACACCGAGTTTGGCTGTTAAGTAACTTGGAATATGTGGCTCTTTACTCCGCATTAAAGAGATTGCACCTTCCAATCCCTAGGGCAATAGAATGTAGAATTATGGTGAATAGTGGTGTACTCCACATCTGACAGATTTAGCGCTAAAAGAATATGAATCTAGGAAGCCCATATTATATAGGACTTGAATTTTGGTAATGTGTCTGCAGTCAATAATGTGCGATGAATGATATAATTTTTTTTAATATGCTCCTTCTGTTTCATAATTATTGTCCATTTTGAAATTTTATTTTTAGTTCAAATTGTACTAAAAGTAATATTTAAAATTAGATAATAATTTTGGGACAGAGGGAGTACTTGGGAAGCCATAGGCGTAGATACAAAACATCCTACAAATAGGATGAGGTAAAGTTGTCCAAACTATACTTCAACCAGGAAGGCCAAACTAAACTCTGGTACACTAACCAGAAAGTCTAACAATTAGACTACAAATGAACTAAATAGTTCATTAAACAGAAAGTCCATACCAAAAGAGCAAATAGTGCCAAATTCGGTTAGACAGAATGGTAATTAGAGCGATGACTGATATGATCTGGATTTAAATAAGTACATCTTGAAGTCCATGTAAACAACATATGGTTTTACCTCAAAATCAATTGGTAATGAGGGAAGTAGCCCATGAGATATATATGTTATTGGTAATGAGGGAAATAACCCATAAGATATGTATGTTGAGTTCAAGAGTGTCCATCCATCCATGTAAGATAAGGAATATGAGACTATTTTCTTTCTTTTTCATTCATTATATATATATATATATATATATATATATATATATATATTGTGGAAGCTTTATGCTTAGGCTACATCAGGTTGGCTCTCAAGGGAAGCGGACAATCAAAAACTAATATATATATATATATATATATATATATATATTTATTTATTGTGGAAGCTTTATGCTTAGGCTACATCAGGTTGGCTCTTAAGGGAGGCGGACAATCAAAAGCTAATTTTCTTTTTCATTCATTTAACAATACATCTTTGGCAATGATGAATGGGACTCGTACAAGCAATTTCTTGTAACTGGATCCCTTCTAAACCAAGACAATGAAATCCAGAGCTCTTATTAATAATTTGGCCCGTTACCTTGGGAACTGAAGTTCACTTGCCGGAGTAATACCAAGTTTTGTATTGAATGCATCTTCCAAAAACACCAAGATTTTAGCCCCCATGCACAGCAGTTACAACTTTTTCTAATATTGGTGGCGAATTGCTACATGGTAATTGATATTGTTGTGGGTAAAAATTATTTTCCTAGTTGGACCCGACTGATCTAACAAATTGATGTTATCAGCCTGTAATTTGTCAAATTTGCAACATGGAAATTGATATTGTTGTGGGTAAAAATATTTCCCAAGTTTGATCCGGCTGATCTAACAAATTGGTATTGTCAGTCTCTAATTTGTCAACTTTGATCGAACTTCTTTACTTTGTTGTGTTTTTTGTCTTTCTCTGATCGGGTGACCAAAATATATACGTCTTTGTTCATGAAAACAATGTCGGATGATCCATCGACAATTCAAAGTGTTTTCAGTTGTAAAACCAGCAATCTTAATTTTCTGAAACAAAATATGCACGTAAAAGCATGATCGTAATTATGATCAACATGCTCATGTATATGGGTAAATATTTTACCATGGAATGAAGAAAGTGTAATTTACAACTTAAAAAAAATATTATCTTACCTATTTCAATGGCGAATTCATAAACATCATCCACCCATTACCCATCCATTGTGGAGGCTTCTTTTTTCTTATTTTTTTAAAGTACAATATCATTATAAGTGTAAAATGTACTTCACAGAATTGGGTGACAGCTCTCCCACACCAAATACTAGTATTACGGGCAATCTAGTGTGGCCGAGCCATTTTATTCTTTATTTTGAGGATATCTTTCCCTACGACTAAGTACTATTTCCAGTTTGACAACAACATGGTATCGCCATCATGAGTCAACTTAAGTCACACTTACCACACAATTAATTGGGTCGCTAGCTTTTGGAATTTGGACAGCAACCATATTTCATAAAAAAAGAACAGAAAAGAAAAGTGATCTGAGAGCGTCAATTACTTCATTCTCTAAAATTTCTATGTCCATTCCAAGTAATATTCAAAAATCTCTGGACGTTTTTTATGTTGATTGTGACCGAAATTTTCCAAGGAGCATTCCATCTTCACAGTTTTTTTTTTTTTTTTTGGGTTTATTTAGTATTATATTTTTTTCCGGGGGAGGTGGGGTTGAAAACCGCGCTTATAATCATCTTGGTGATACTTGTCTTAAAAGTTGGTCTAATATTCTAAACAAAGCTACCCCGATAACCTGGATTTTATTTTTTCTTGTCACCAGGAATTGGAAATAGGAATCGACTCACACATGACCATTCGAGAACCTGGTCTGACGACGTATGAACTTTCCCCGTTGACGCGAATTTTCCCCATACACAATAAAAGCAAATGCAGAAAATTTTGCATTACATATAGTCAAATTCAATGAAATAATTTTTTATGTTTTTGGTTTATTTCGAGTACTCTATTTACATTTACTTTTGCAAGACTTTGACTAGTAGCCAGCCACGAGAGTAATTCTGCCTCTTTTCCATTTTGCCGGCTTTGGCTTTATTTACCTAGAAGTAGAGAACTTCTAAGCAATTTCGATCCTCTAGTCTCCAACCACTCTTTCTTCTTCTTCTTCTTCTTTTTTTTTTAAATTTTTTTATTTATTTATTCAGATTTTTAACAATTACTAATTTGTAGTGTACTTGGTGCAAATTTAGAGGGTCGGTATACTTTAAATTCTTGAGGCAACGATGTATACACAAATTTATGGTACTACCACTACTTTATGAATGTGAGATGATTATTACACAGAAAAGGCATAAGTTGGTCTATACCAAAATCTCAATAAATGTTTTTTAATTGGGGAAAATCGCTTTTATTTCCTTAAGTTGAGTGTGCGCAACTGGCTCAATTACCTCCACATTCATATTCTCTTCCAAATTTTTTTGATTTCCAATAGTGAAACGTAGGAACACGTATGTGGACACAATGTACATCCTTTAAATTGGTGTAACTTGCCTGTTCAACAAAAAGGGTTATCTATCATTGATTTGGTGGAACATATTGAAGAGGAAAATAGTCAATAATGCAGCAAATTTCTTTCATGATGTATTATGAAAAAAGAATATGATTACCATTTAAATCACCGACAGTATAAATAATTCCTTTAAAAGTTAAATAAAGCGGAAATTTTGGTATGCTTTTTTCTGGAAAATAAGCTTAGGGCATTCCTATATACAATGTTCTAGGTTCTGAGAATTGCAGGAAAAACTGGCAAGCTGGCTAAAATGGAATTGAATTTACATTTGAATTGCTAACCGACCCTGCATTTAATCCCCTAGGGTTTGGTCCCCATGAATTAGACGTGTTTCTACTTGTATTCATCAGTTATCATCATCAGTTCATCACTTAGCATAAGAAGACAACCTATGAAACACACACCCGAAAAGTCACATTATCTTGAACCACTTGATCCCATTGAATCATAAAACGACAATATTTCAATAGTTGTAACTTGTAATGTCTTTCAATATTTGATTTTTTATTTTTTTTCTTTTGGGTAAAAAAAAATGGTTGATTAATTTTACTTTCTTACTTAAAATTCACAGAATTGCAGACAGCAGATGATGGCAGGCAAATACCAACGGCATTATCTTTCATTTTTGCGGCGAACAGATTTGATGGACACTATATCGACGAGATTAGACAGCGTTATTCCCCGGGTGTCTCCAGAATTTTTACCAAAATACTTCCTTCTGTCTTTGTCCTTATTATAAGGCATTTTGATTTTGTCTACAGTTTCACCTAAAATATATTTTTAATTAGAAAAAGAATCTTAAAAATATTTTTGCACATTCGTCGTGTTCTCTTAATTTTTAAGAAATATTTTTAAGATTTTTATTTCAATTAAAAAGACATCATAGGTGAAATTTAAGACAAACATAAGACAAATTAAAATGCTGTTCTCGTAGTAGAACAGTAAAAGGGGAAAAAAAGAAGAAGAAAAAGCGTTATAGTTATGGATAATTGCAAAGGAGACTAGCCTATTTTGTGTGTGTTTAGAAAAAGTATAATTAATCAATGCAACTAAACTGGGATGGAATATGGTATCGTGCTTGTTCCTTAATTATCTATTTTTTCATAAAAAAGTTGAAAAAACTCTAAAGGCATCGATGCATTTGGTGATTTGGAAATGTCCATCTTTTTGATATGGATACCGTCGGTAGTGCATTTTCACCATTTTAAAATTTATAGAAGACAGCGGATGAATAGTCACAGTTTTGGATGAATATGTTTGGAATTATTATTATTACTATTATTTTAATTGTGAGTTGATCCATACAGATAATAGTACACATACGAGCAAGTTGCAAAATAGTAGTACTTGTATTTTGTTTACAATGGAGATTAAATTCTGTATCATTCCTCCTTTGATATTCTCTATATCTGCAATTTGGTAACAAAGAACATTAAAAATCATCCATCAAAAGCTAAATCAATTACTGTTAATGGCGTCCAGTTCACCGAAAGTACGCTCCCTCTACGATCAATCCTCATCGCAACTTAAAGTTAAGGGTATGTTTGTTTTTAGGTGTTTTTTGTATTGGAAATGTAAAAACGTTTATTAGAAATGTAAAAAGATATGCTGGGATAAAACAGTTAATAATAAATTAATATAAAAAACCATCAAGAAAAGTTTGTTTGGTTTTTTGATGGGTTTTTCAGATTATTTTAATAATAATTGTCCAATCTCAGCACACCTTTTTACATTTCTAATACAAAAATACCTATAATCACACACTAAAAAAACGAAACAAACATATAGTTAATTATCATGAATGTTAGTTATCATGCCTCAATGATAATGTCTTTAATCAGTTGATTTATCGAGTTTTACCAATTATCGTCAATATGTTTACTGTACATAATAACAAATCCAACTCACTAAAATTAAAATATGTTTTCACCATTAAAATTAAAATTGCAACCAGAAGGAATGCATGGATGAATTTTATTATATCAATTTGATGGAAAACAGCAAACATATATACAAAATAAAACAAAATAAAATAAAAGCAATTGTCACAAGTCACAACACACGCAGAGTCGCAGACAGAGTGACCCAAAGCCAAAAAAAATATATATAAAAAAAAAGACCAACGTCATCCTCAAAGTGGTACGACCTTACTTACAGATCATTGTAAGGCACACTTTAATGCCCAGAAAGATCAAAGGATGACTGACTCACACTCACTCACTAATTTGGATTATTGATTGTGCCTTTCTTTTCCCATACAGACGTCAATTTTAAACCTTTAAAAAAATCGTGGAGCTCTTCTAATTTTGTGTACGTATTATGGAAGCTGATGATGATGGATTAGTGTCAATTTTTTTAATTTTGTGGGCATTCATTTTGTCTAGTTACAGCCAAATTGGAGCGCGTGATCTAACCAAAACAGGATTAATGGCAAAGCACGCAGCCAACTTTTTCTTATCTAGTTTTCCACACAATATTAATTCCAATGATTATGCTTAAGCAATCTTCTGTACTGCTAGTACTACAATGTCATTGTTTTAGCGACTATATAATCATGAAAAACTTTTCCGCCACAATCCACTGATTTGTAGTGCAGATTTTTGCAGCCAGAAATTTCCCTGCTAAAGGTGGGGGCTGTTTACTGGTATGGTCAACGTACTACTGTAGCAGTATCTCCTTCTTCTTTCTTTCCTTTTTTTCCCCCCCCCTTTTAAAAATTATACTCATTATATTTTAAAATGATTATATATCCTATTTGTTACATCAAAACAAAATCCTACGATAAATATGATGATTGTTTTTAAACTAAAAGAGTATAATGTAATGTGTACAAAAGCTAAAACATGCACTATAAATGTGTAATCAATCACTACACGATTTTACATATACAATAGTACTACTATCATAATTATATGTAAACTGATCGTTTATTACTTATAAAACAAATTAATTAATATTGATTTTCATAAAAAATGCGGGCATCGGTTGATGTTATTGTTAAATCATACCAGACATGCTTTATAGAAATGCGAAAATCAATTACGACAAAATTTAAAATTTATGGCAACCAATTACTACGGGTAATGTTAGTATCTAATGTTTTTAACCACCAACGCAAAATGTTTATGGAAAATTGGAGATTTTTTCCCCCAAAAAAAAAAAAAGAGAAAAAAGGTGAAAAAGAAATGTGGTGTGGCAACAGTGGCGACTGGCGACTACGAAATCAACAAGACCGGAGGCGCGTGTCTAACGTCAGTCCGCCATCCGTCAAACACCATACATTTTTTTTTTCTTTTCTGATGAAAAATCAACCACCGCATCGTCTTCTTATGTTTATTATTCCCTTTAGAGTTTAGCCCATTTTCAAAACCAAACAAAACTTTTGGCAGCCACAATTTCCCCGGAAAACTAATACTGAGTGACCACTATATACTACTACTACTACAATATATATATAAGCTTATCACCCATCTCCCCAACAACTCCCTCTCCAGCATTATCCCCGAGTCATCTCCGAGTTGGCTCCGATTCTCTGGGGTTCAGTTCAACGAAACAATGGAGGTCGTCGAAACTCACGCTCACGCTCTCTCTTCCTTTGATCACAACTCCAATCCTACTTTTCCTTTTACTCCCGCTGCTTCGGGTTTCGAGCATCCGGAGCGTCGCAGCGCCCTGGTGTCTCGAAGCCCCGACTTTAGCGGGTACAATAACTCCGACTCTCCGGTGGTTCCGGAGGGTTTAGAGTCGGCGGTTTCTGCCGGAGATAATGATCGTGAATGCCTCGACATTGGTGACGGCATGGTGTCGGTTCTGAACTCCGTTGCGGATCCTTCGGCGGATGACGACCTTCAGAAATGCGTCGCCGGAGAAGGAGATGTCGCTGCGCGGAAGTTGGAGAGGTGTTCGTCGGATGCGGCGATGAGGCTGCAGAAAGCCTACCGGGGTTACCGCACCCGGCGCATGTTGGCCGACTCCGCCGTCGTCGTGGAGGAGCTCTGGTTTGTGTTATCTATATATCCTGCGAACTGAACTTCCATTGGTTATTTTTTTGAGTGATTAGTAATTATGCTTGATCATTTATTTTTGAAGGTGGCAAGCTATAGATTATGCTCGATTGAACCATAGCACGATTTCATTTTTCAATTTTTCCAAGGAATCGCCTGTTTCGCGGTGGAGCCGTATCAGCTTGAACGCTTCCAAGGTAAATATAACCAATTACTACTATGATTGTTCACACTGATTAAAAGTCAAAAGCAAACAGCCGTAACATTATTATAAACGGAAAATTACTCAAGATTTTCTGGAATTTCTTTTTTATTGCTCAAGTACAATACTCTTATTCCGTTGACCGGATTGTTCTGTTTAATGAATGAACTGCGTCTCTTTGATGGTGTTATCATAGTTCACAGATGGACCTTTTAATTTTTGACTAACAGGTGGGTCAAGGATTATCTAAGGACGCCAAGGCACAGAAATTAGCTTTCCAGCACTGGATTGAAGCCGTAAGTTGCTATAGATTTTCTGTGGTTTGACCTTATCACATTTAAGTGAGTGTTTTAGTTGCTCCGCAATCTTACATCTCAACAACCAACATGTCTGATCCTTGGCTTCTGCAGATTGATCCAAGACATCGTTATGGGCACAGCTTACACATATATTATGAAGAGTGGTGTAAAGCTGATGCTGGACAACCTTTCTTTTACTGGTATGGAGACAAATAGGAATTCAGCTTTAGCTAAATGCAATTTGTTTCGTTTAAGTACTTGCATTTAGATAACTAGAACCCCACAAGGCCCCAACTCATTGCCTTGCCCGACCCCAGTAAGGTGAAAACAAACCATGAATAGTAGCATGGTTTTTCAGTTAACCTGCTTGCAAGTACTCCTTTGGTGCACACTGACATCTTAGAATAAGTGTCCACAATTCATGTGGAAACAGGTCAAGCATAGTTTGTCCCTGGTTATTGGTGCTTATTTTGGTAATTTAATTTAAAAGGAAATGGTATTTCATCTTCGTTGTGCTTATTTTGGTATTTCATACTTATTGTTGGAATCGAAAAGGTAAAAGAAAAAAAAAAAAAAAAATTTAGACCTCTATTGTGATGAACTTACATGTGCATTGATGTTGACTTGTGGAGCTTGGGATGAACTTGCTTCATTGTCTTTTCTTCAAGGTTGACAGATCAAATGTATTCTTATGTCTGAATTCTTATCAAGAACAACAAAAATTTTTTGTCTACTTTTCTAGGTTTTCTTTCAATAGCAAGTTTAACCATACAGTAATAAAACCACTGAGTGCATTTACTTGGAAGTTGTATTGCAAATGAGATGTGGGATTAAGAACTAATTATAGAGATGGAGCCACACTTGTGCAATTATTTTAGATCCATGAATCTTATTTTGTGTATCAAAAAGGTTACTCATTCGAAGATTTTGCATTTTCTCTACATTTATGCAGGTTAGATATTGGAGAAGGTAGAGAAGTTGATCTTGAAAAATGCCCGCGATCAAAGCTCCGTCAGCAGTGTATCAAGTATCTTGGACCTGTATGTGACTGCAGTTTTTTACGTTTAGAGCTCTGCCATATCTTATTATAAGTCTGAGCACTGTTGTTTCTCATGTGTCGAACAGTATCCGTATTTCGAGTTTTAGATGCGAATAATGCTGTTACTCTATGTTTTTTCATAAAAAATTCATTGAACAATTTGAAGGCTACTTAAGATTTTCTTCTTCTGTTATTTTTTTGGTATCAGCAAGAAAGGGAACATTATGAGTATGTGGTCATCGACGGGAAATTTCTGCATAAGCAAACTGGAAAACATCTTGATACAATGACTGGACCCAAAGGAGTGAAATGGATCTTCGTCATGAGCACCTCTAACAAACTCTATGCTGGAGTGGTGAGAGTCCATTTTATAAGAACACAAAGTATTCATTTATTGATGTGTAACTCTTCCTGTATCATTTTGTCTTGCTGAAATCTTCCATTGTTAATGCTTTCAGAAGAAGAAAGGAAATTTCCATCATTCCAGTTTCCTTGCTGGTGGGGTTACTTTAGCTGCTGGAAGGCTGGTAGTAGTTGATGGAACGCTTAAGGTACTTTTGTACTTTTATTTGCTGTTTTACTCTGCTTTTGCAAGCATTTTGAGCGATGTAGTTTTCCTATTCCTCATTCCATTTAACTTAATGAGTTAAGGTTACCGGAATATGATTGCTGAGTTGGAGACTTTCCTTACCTTGGAAAGAGTTGGTTTAGGAAGTGCCCTCTCACTTTTGTCAAAAATTTGCTTCAATGCTATTGCTGCTTATTGTTTCCTTGAAGACAAACAAATTCGTGAACTTATTTTTTCCCAGAAAACAGTTCACCTTTTTCTGATGTTCGACAGAAACCTACTCTGCCATTTCGTTAACATGGTTATATTTCCTTAACTGTTGTTGATCTAACTGTAATATGATTATGCATGTCTCAGTCAATCTCAGCTTACAGTGGACACTACCGCCCTACCGATGATAGCCTTGACAGCTTCCTACAATATCTGAAGGAAAATGGTGTTAACCTGGATGCAGTTGAGGTATTGCCAAAAGCCAATTTCTGTTTAATTCTTCTACATATTGTACTGGCTAGATATCGCCACTGCAAATCTATCCACACCTGTCTGTTAGGTGCCTCTGGAATCTATTAGTTTGTCATCTTAGAGAAGCATATGCTTTATGAAGCTCGCCCTTATGTGTTATTTATTTATCTCGTTCTACTACCTTCCTCATTGTGTACCTTTGACATAGATTCGAAGAGCGAATGAAGATTACGACAACTATGAAGACGGGAAATCAACCAAAGAGGTTCCAAGTTCTGAAGCTACAAAAGTGTCAGATTCTCTTGAAGCTAATGATCCAGATGATAAGTTGGAACCAGCCGAAGTTCCGAAAACTGAAACTGTTGTGGAGTATAAGAGGACTCTCTCAGGGGGTCTTCAGAGTCCTAGAGCGGAGGTCCCAAAGAAAGTGATATTGCAAAGGATAAACTCCAAGAAAGCTGCAAGTTCCTACCAGTTAGGGAATCAACTGTCACTGAAATGGTCGACTGGCGTGGGGCCTAGGATAGGTTGTGTTGCTGACTACCCTATAGAGCTAAGGTTGCAGGCATTGGAGCTCACTAACCTGTCACCAAGACAATCTTCCCAGTCGTCGGCAACCACCCCCAGGCGCGGTTGTCTTGCCTCTCCCGTCAGATGGTCATCACAAGAATTTGCTAACAAAGATGTGGACACTTGAATTTTGTCTAGTTTGGGTGTTCGCTGCTTTCCTTTGTTTTGGTGTTTTTTCTTTTTTCATCTATGAGACAAGGTTGGGCTTTTGTACAGGAACACAATATAAATTGGAAGTCTAACAATCCCATCTTTTGGAACTTACTGTTGACTACAAGACAGAATTCTGCAAATCGAATCATGTGAATCGCAGCTCATTAATTGGTAATATGCACACTAATCCAAAAAAAAGAAAAAAGAAAAAAAAGAAGATGTATAGAGGTCGTAGTAAACTGGAATTTTGTCTAGTATGCGGCTTTATTTCATTATTTGTTTTGCTTTCTCTCTTTTTTTATGTAACAAGTTTGGGCTGTTATAAATGGCCACCCAGGAATTCACAAATCTGACTTTGTAACCCACTGGATGACCAAAACAAGCCCATCTTTGCAGCTAATATTCGCTGAGTTTAGTTATGTGGTTGCAACTCGCCAGTCTCCTCTAATGAGAAATTCAAACCCAACCACCCCTTTGAAAGTTATCGATCATAATTAATGGAAAATGTGTTAATGCTTACATTTGAAAATTAATTGCATAGTGCGTTTCTAATACTGATGAATACGATAATCAGTTACTACTGTTAAATCAGATTACGTGAATCCTAATTCATTAACCGCAAATAACTCCACAGTGTAACATATACGAGTCTTTAAATAAGTCATGATGAAAGCCATTATCCTGTGCTATATTATTGTTCTTTTGCAAAATCCGCTCCACGAATAAAGGTTTAACGAAAGAAAGGGAAAAAAGAAAGATGGATATGAGAAAGAGAGTTTGTTTTGGGGTGGCGTTGATGCTATTGATAATGGTGACAATAGCCATGGCAGCTTCATCATCTGCAAAAGAAGCTCAGCACTGAGAAGGAAGTACCATTCATCCTCCACCGGTAGACCCGTGGGCACCCAGCAAGAAGTGCATTGATAAATGCCATAAACAGTGCCCTAGTCCTGGATTTCCAGAATGCTTTCTTAACTGTGTCATAGACTGTCATGAGAGCGAGCATTAATTAACCAAGAGATTGAGCAATCCCGGCCCCTACATCACCGATAATAATAATAATATTGAAAAATAATGTTGTAATGATAACAAATCTTCTCATTTTGTGATTGATAGTGCGACCGTCAGAAGACAACTTTTGTATCGAGGTTGATGTTGTTGATGAATGAAGAAATAAGTTGTTTTTTCTTCTCCTTTCTTATCTTGAGAGCCCGGCAGCTCAACATTTTACATTTACTGTCATGTGTTTATCTTATACAGTTCAACAATTTTACCTTGTTAATCGATGTAGAGATTGGATTTTTTGACCGGACAATCATTTTAAAAAAAATACAGTATAATTATAGAAAATACTGATAGGAACGATATGGATGTGTCTAAGATGTTCAAAGAGCATGTAACTCTCAGAGTAGGAGGTTAAAAAATTGGAAAATATCACCGTAGATTATTATCCACTTTTGATTTTTATTTTAATTTAATTTACATTCAATTAAAAAAAACTAAACAGGATTTTGAAAGTATATATATATATATATATATATATATATATATATATAAATAAACGTAGAGACAAAACCGAGGGACTGTCACCCACAATTCACCAGGAAAATAAAGAATGATGCATCGTATATTTCCAGTTTCCATCGATTCCACCACTGGGGAAGTAAAAGCGAATTCTGACGAGAGGGGGTTGCCGTAGTCGATTGCCAATTGTTTTGGCCTCAAAACATTCTCGAATTACAAAAAAGCTCCGCCAACCGCCACATCTGGTAGCAACGTGGCGAGGACCCAGGCAAGCCACGTGGGTGTCTCACAGCTGTGCGACAAAGAACAAACAACTGGGCAAACGAGAAACAGCAGCCATCCCTGACGTCGATGACGTAACCCTCAGAATGGGCCGGAAAAACCCATAACTAAGTATACTGTTGGATTTGGCGGGAGATGTTTTTGTCGCACGTAGCCACACGTGAAGGAGGAGGAGGAGGTGGAAACGAAACAAAGGCGACGCTTGTCAAACCCACATACAGCAACAGCCCTGCTGCCCTGATCTGGCATGCCACGTGTTACTCCCCTAATCCCCCAACTCCCTCGTCTTCACTTTTCACAACAACAGGCAGGAAAAACCCATTGAGACACGCGCCAAGTAAGAACCAATGTATATATGTATATATATATATATATATATATATATATATAGATACATACATATACATATCTAAGTTCTTCTTCTTGGCTTACCGTTAGTGGGGGAACTGGGAATCTTTATTAGTACTTTTTTTTTTGACTTTGGATGGATTTTGTTGTTGAGATTCCGAATTTACTGTCACAATGCATCAACTATATGATTAATTACCACTCTAATTATAGTCATATACACCACTACATAAAAGCAATTGTAGATTAGTTATTATAATTAGTAGTTAGTTTCACTAGCTAGAATAGAGGGGGGAAGCAGTTAATGGAGCATGACGCCCAGAAATCCGGCGGCGATTCTGCTGCTGGTGGTGGTGATCAAGAGATGAGGGCCATGGTGAAGTTTGAGTTGGAGGCTGCCGAAGCTTTGGCCGGCTTGGCCCATTCTTCTGTTGCCCTAGAAGATGAGGACACGGGTACTCACGATGACGACGGCGGCGCCGATGACTCAATGGCGGGAGATGAGAGTGAGAATGTTCTTCCTCCGCCGGTGCGTTAACCATTTTTTGCATAATTTTATACTCATTGCTTTCAGTTGCTTTGGAATGTCCATTGTTTCTCTTCTCAGTTTATTAGTCCTTGACCTACTAGCTTCATGCTTAAATAAATGGCGACACAGAATTCAAATTGTGTAGTTGAGTTTGGATGGCCTGTTAACGTTGTTTACGGATTTAATGCAATTGCAACTTGTACTTCTGCATCAACACTTCATCCACACAACTAATCATTGTGGTTTTAGGAGCTAGTTGGGCTTGAAATTTTCCTTTCACTATTTAGGTACAAATGGTGTACTATTAATCAGTATTTCAGGAGGATGCTGGTGCAACAACTGCAATTCGGCTGGAGGAAGAACAGCTAGGAACGAACACTATCATTAATCCAGTTAAGTTAGATGACCAAGAACAATGTAGAACCAGTTTCAGTGTAATGACTGCTGCTGCTGCTGGGGGCAAGTCAAGGCAACCTTTGACTGAGGTACCTTTCAACTCCTTTACTCATTTTTGTATGTAATTGCACTTATGCCTGACACTGCAACTATGTAAGAAAGGGTCCCAAGTCCCGACACTAAGCTGGACTGTTAGACACCAGTGAGTGAAAGTTATGGTTTTCTCAGCTTTATAACATGTTATTGTTCTTTCATTTCATTGGACTAGCCTTCAATTGGATCACCTATGAAATTGCTGTTGCAGTCTGAGAAGGAAGAAAGGCGATTGCGCCGCGTGTTGGCAAATAGAGAATCTGCCAGGCAAACCATCCGCCGGAGGCAGGTATCTGATCTTTTATCTGGTTGAGTTTTCCCTAACAGGTTAGCTGTGACATTTTCTTAGAATTGTCTAATACCTGCAATTGCAATGGTGCTTGGATGGACATATTTTGCATAGCCATTTAATTTCTCTCTGTTCAAAAGACATTTTTCTTTTCTTTCTTTTTTTTTGGGGGTTCTGTCGCGTTTGTCAGAACTTAAGCCAACTTGAGCTAGCTATTACTCGTGGATTACTCAAAGCCGAAGTACAGTTGAAGAGTTTGAAGAGTTTCTTTTGTTCTGTTTTCATTTTTGGAATTTGTTAAGTAGCACTAGAAAGTTACTGAACAGTTTGCAATAAAAGAAGTGATTGTAAAATTATTTGATCCATTTGGCAATCAAAGAAAATTTTTCCATTCACCTTTTCATTGGAACACTGTCATATAGGAGTATAAAATAAATTATCCATCCTATGCGTGTTGTCAGGGATGTAATCAAGGCAAGCTTTTTTTTTTTCCTTCTTGCAGGCCATGTTTGAGGATTTAAGTAGGAAAGCATCAGATTTAGCTCATGAGAACGAGAGCCTGAGGAGGGTAAGCGACATATTCATTCTGTCCATAAAAATTGTTCACATTGTAGATTATAAGTTACAGTTTCTTTTTATATACTTTACAATGTGGACTATTTTTGTGGGGCGGAGGAATGCTTTTTAATATATCCTAATATTGGACATTAGGCATATCATTTTCCAATCCACAGTACATTGTTCAAAAAAGGAAATGGAGAAATAATACTGTTTACAATTGTGCACTCGTCCTTGGGCAGGAAAAGGAGCTGGCAGTGAAAGAATATGATTCATTGAAAAGCACAAATGATTGTCTGAAGGAGCAGGTAATGGAGATTGCTTCCCCTGTGCATTTACTTTTGTTTTAGTACCTTCCAACCTATTTTAACTCGACGTAATAGATGGCTAAATTGGAGGCAGCTGCAGTAGGGGAACTCCAGAAAGGCACAGAATCAGTCCCAACAGAGGGTGCTGCTTCTTCCTCTGAGGGTACCCCATTATTCCATTTTGACCAGTCCTCTATGGTGCCTCTTCACTGGCATTCTCTACTACAACCGATGATGCAATGTCGTTCGCAAAATGACTCTGCAACTCCATCAGTATTTCCCGCAACAGAGTCATGGCGGCCATTTATGTTCACGGATCAAAGAAGTTGTAATAATATTCCCAATCCGGGGGCTCTGTTATATGTCTTGCCGTTGCCTTGTTTCTTTCCATGGCGCTCCCCATCAGATGTTGCATTTGCTCGACCCTCCAATCAGGCTGAAAGGCAAACTGTGTCCCAAATGAGCAGCCAATGCAGTACTGATTTTCCTTGTCAATCAACTTTACCTTCGGTGATCAATAGAGAAAGTTGTCCAACAGTATCTAACCTTGGAGGCGATCACCATCATTCGGGTTTTACAATCCCAGTGGAGGGACATCATAAAGTGGAAGGAGCTCATCCTAACCCACCTGTTCTCACGCCAACACCATTGAGTTGCATTGTAGCATCAAGGACGGGTGCAGGAGGGAGAGTTGGGGTTACCTCGGAACAGGAGTACTCTAGTGAGGAGGTTGTCGCTACTGTCACCGGGCATCGGGGAATTGCTGTGTCAGAAGGGTATCGTGAGCTAGCTGCAGATATCAGCACAAAACCGGTGGATACTGGTGCAGCTACAGAAGCAAGGAGGAGGAGGAGAGAACTTATGAAACTAAAAAGCATGCAGCCTGGTAGATATCCTGTGAGCTAGTCGCGTTGGTGGTGTGACACCGTGAAGATGGATCCAAGCTAAACTTGTTGGCTGGACTGGTTTTTTTTTTTTTTTTTTTTTTCCCTTCTTTTTATATTTCTTGTCGTTCTGTTTTATGGTGTCATTAAGCAGGAGCAATCAGTAGCGATTGGCCCGAAAATGTTCCCACGTTCAGTTTCCTCTCAGATTTTTGTAGGTGGAAGCAATGTCTTCATTTTCCTGTTGAGTTGTATATAGAGGCGGTTTAAAGTTTTGAGTCAGTTTGAACCGTTTGAGACAGTACTACGCAACATGATAAGCAATATACGATAGGGGCGGTCAGTGTTGGGAAATCTTGCTTAGCATTCAATTTATACGGTAGATGTATTGGCACAAAAACTGAATCCTAGAGCTATAGTGGCCTATAGACTTCTATGGGACTCTTTACAATGTTGTTAGAGTCGCTCCAGACTAGCGTGGCTGAAATGAACCACTTCGTTTTCCCAACAAAGGTTCCATCAAGTATGACCTGAAAAGATTGCTGGTCATATCGCTTTGAGAATGAGAGGAGTTTGGGACAACCGTTACCAAGAGTCCTTTGGGTGCTGACTGATGCTTTATAGAGAGTTTTGTTTTCACCTACGTATGTTACTGTCCAGTGGAAGATTGCTGAAATGGCGGTAGAGTTCCCAGTCTTAAGCTGAAGTTGCAGGGTAGGATAGTTGGGGCCGTCGGACCCTTTTGTAGACGAGTAATTTGGGCAGTCCTTCGTTATGTTCCTGCTGATGATTTGATAGCTGAGCTATTGTAGCCTTCCTTGCAAAGAAAAGTAATGTTCGAGGTAACATCAGCATCATATATTAACCCAGGATTCAGGGCAGCTACAGGGTCGATTAGGCCAGCCCTGCAGAAAACTCTCCACCATCAGCCTGAAGCTTCATTGGTTTGGCTGAAATCAAAGGCAATCCAGAGTCATTGAAGGTATAAAATTATTCCCAACACGTGGAAAATTGTGAGGAAATTTCAAGCTAAGTAGAAAAATATGGTACCAGTGGTCATCAAAGCAGACTTGATAGCAGCCATTGACCAACTTGGATGAAATGTTTTGACATATGCAGCAGCAGCTGCGGCATGAGGGCAAGCCATTGATGTTCCTGAGAGAGTGAGAGTACGTTGTATTTCACGTATCTACTGTCACCTTGTCTTCCTGTCATGGTTCTCAATGTGGTATATGAGGCTAGTATGTCGATCCCTGGTGCTGCAATGTCGGGCTGTAGAATTTGAAACTTAGTTTAGAACTAGGATGAAACTTAGAATGCCTCAATTAAAAGAAACAGATTCGAGAAATGGAAGAAATGGATTTATACACCACCTTGAGAATGTTGCGCGAAATTTCTTTGGGTTCTCTGGATGAGAAGGACGCAATGAATGGTGCAGTCACATTGACTGTTACTGTTTTGTCAATAGCAGCTCTGGCTGCCGATCTGCACAGGTTGTGAGACAAGGCTTTTTAACATTGCTGTAAATGCAAATTAGCAGCTGACATTCCCATGAAGAAAGAAGAAATCTGTTCCTATCTTTACTGATATTTGATTCTACATTTTAGTTCAATAAAACTTGGATCAAAGAAGCTACCCACTTGATGGAATTGGTATAGTGTTCGATTTTCTAACTACTTGTGAAGCTGACAGAAGCTGCAGGGATTACGAAGGGGTCTGCAGTATCATGATAGCGAACATATGACCTAATTATTCCCACACCACCTAATTGTTTGATGAGGGCATCTTCATCCTCGGCATCTGGACAGTACAAAATGCGTCCCTTTACCTTGTCCTTGGTTAGAACCGAGGGATCACAGGCACTGGCACAAAGATAACATTTGCACTTGGCCATAATTATGAGTGACTTGATATAAAACAGTAGAGCATGTTATATATTATATATACTCTCATTTCAATAGTACACTTTGGAGAACTATGTTAGTATAACAAGTGGAGTGGACTATTAATTAAATAGAGAGGCATCCTCTGAAACTCCAGACAAACTACCTGAAATTGAGGTACCAATTCACCAAAGGATACATTGACTTGTTAGGAGGTGTAAACGTGTTGATGGAAAATCCCTGCAAAAAAATGGGCAACCAACAACTTAGTATGCATTAGTCTACAAAATTGGGACGAGAAAACAATGATCAAAATGGCAGAGGGCTTGCTACATACAGGAATCACAGTTCCGTCACCTAATCTGACCATTGTGTGGAACTTTCGATCTATGCTTGAAGCAACAACCGTCATGATCCAAGGTGCAGTGTTAGCAATGTTCGAATATCCAGGTCCTTGGTTTCCTCCAGCACAAACAATCAAGATTCCCTTCTTCATGGCATGGAAAGCACCAATGTCTATCGGATCATCCAAGAAACTTGTATGATACCCTGCAACAGAAACTGAGATTATGTCTACCCTATCGGCAATTGCGACATCAAATGCTGCTAAGAGGTCCGCAGATCCACAGCCATCGTTTCCACAGACTTTATAACTAGCAATTTGGGCTGAAGGGACTGCTCCTCGGGCAACTCCGTTGGCCAAGCTGAACAAGTTTGCATTGGGTATTGCTATCCCGGCTGCTGTGGAGGCTGTATGCATCCCATGTCCCTCAAAGTCGACTGGAGTTAGCCGTTCGTCACCGGGTTCGCCTTCTAAATTGAAGACCCGAGCACCAATCACCCTTGCTGAAGCATATGTCCAAACTCAAAATCAATCAGCCGCTCTATATGTATAATCTCAGCTGTATGTCTGTTTATTCTACATGTAGAGAAGAGAAGTGGAGAGAGTGTTGATATATACTTACTTGTTGCACCTAGTGAAGTAAAGACCATATTCAACTTGATGATTCGACCAATATTCCTTCAAAAACAAAATCGTGTGTCAGATTCAACTTGAAACCTGTGAAACAAACAAACAAGTTTCTGAAAAATACTAGTAAGACTAAAAGGTTTAAATGGTCATAGAAGTTCTATCTTATCTGAATGGATTCAGGTCGCTCAACTACTAACAGTAATAAAAACATATGTGGGCTGACTGAACAGAGTTACAGAGATTCATAACATGTCATGCTCGATGAGTAAGTACTTCGCAATTTAAAAGAAAAGTCACTGAAATCAAAAGCGTAGATAATATTATTCAAATCAACAGACTCAACCTCTAGAGTGATCAAATTAGGATAGAGTGGTTGGTGAAGAATGATGACACCAAATTATGAAAGGAAGTCAAATTCTGTGTAAACCTGTTGCTCTTACTTTGAAGTAATTTACTCAGCAGCAACTTGTAATTCTTCTAACCTGTATCAAGGAGAGCCACTATGGTATTGCTTTCTGCTTGAGGCATTCTGAGAATCTTGTCATCCATTCCAAGAAAATCCCATGATCTTTTGGTGTGTATCAAAAGACCCTAAGGGTTTCCGCCATTGAAGAACACTTTTTTTTATATGTGTTTCTAGAGAAATCATCAAAACCAAGAAAATATTAATTAATGTAGTTAAAATACAAAAATATCCTTATTTATTGTCTATATAATTCATCACAAACCAATAGAAATTCATTATAAATACTTTTTCATTTCCAATGCAAGGGTAATATTGGCAGAAGTGTAAACGTACGACATATATTTAAAAGCATTCACCAAATTCTAAAACGGCATATATTTTAAAATAGAGGGAGTAGGACAAACCTAAATAGTATTTCTATTTTTTTTTGTTAGGATTTTGTTAAAAAACTAACGGTTAATCCTTTTTGCACGTGAGATACACGTGAATTAACCGGAAAGTATCATGTGTCTGTTTAAAATTCAAATATTTATAAAGTCACAAGCAAGTCACATAGCACAAAAGACTCGAGCCAAATTTTTACATAAACACATAATGCCCTTTGGTCGATTCACGTACATTTTACATGAAAAAAAGGTTGACTGTTATTATTATTATTTTTTTAATGAAACTCTAATAGAAAAATGAATAGAAACACTAATTAAGTTTGCTATGCTATATATAATAGTATCTGCACCTTTTAGTTTTGAATGAATACAACAAGCAATTTTTTGATATTTTCATAGTAAATTGTTTTTGTTTTTAGTTTTCTTATATTTTAAAAGCCCCAAATTCAGTGTTAGATCTAGCAATCTACATGGTTGTTCTTGCATCTCCAAGATGATAATTATGCTTGGTCGATTGACTCTAATAAATTAATTAGGCTTGATGTTTTCATCAAAATCCGACAATCTATTTTCCCGATCTTCCTCACGTCCAAACGCCACGGTTTTCTCGTCATTGTTGTTAATATACATATCTGTGGAATTTTGTAAGAGGTTGAAAGTCTCCTCTTCTTGTGACTCGCCCAGTATGTGTGTGGAAGTCCAAGCATATTCTAACGCGTAAAATTCAACCATACAGTTTGGCTCTCCAATAGAACACTAATGCCTCAAACAATAAATTAATCTCAATACGCAAATTCCAATTGAATGAATAAAGGCAGACATGTAATTATTAATTGGCATCTTCTTGATTTTAACACGTCGTTATTGGCTTCGGTTTTCCAGCTTCTTTCATTTTATAATACTTCCTCCATCTCAAACAAACTATTCACTTTATTATATTCCTCTTATTCTAAAAAACAAAAATCTATATTGAATTTTGACTTTATTATATTCCTCTTATTCAAAAAAAAAAAAAAGAAAAGAAATCTATATTAAATTTTGAGGTGATTCATGCAGGAAATGTTTGACGAGAAAATTCCTCGTAACTCTTAAATAAATCATAAAAGAAAATATATAAGTATGGATGGTTATAATTCATCCATGTTTAAATTCCTTGCAAATTTCTCTGTATGGATCATTCTTCTAATTTAATTCTTCTAATATACACTAGCAATTAATGAGAAGATATGATCAGCTAGTCAGATTTTATTATTTTAATAAATAAATTACTACTGCTAGGTTTTCTTTTTTTAACGTTCAAATATACTGCAGTTATATTACTAACATAATTAAGCAGTGACATAAGAAAGGGTGTGATGGTAGAATGACTCCCTTTAATTTATCATTACTTGGCATTTAAGGTGAAAAATATTTTACGTAATTATATTTGATACTCAAGAGTTAATTATTTCCTCCGTCCCCCTAATAATATCCATATTTACAAAATAATATTTTTCTGGAACATTTTTTCAAAGAGTACTGGTTGCATTGAAATTACTCACTGTCACGAAACCTTGATCAATTTATATGGTGGATAGATGTACTGGCAAAAAGTGAATGTTAATGCTAATATAGTGGCTTATAGACTAATATAGGACATTTCACATTATTCTTAGAGTCACTCCACACTAGTGATGCTGAAATGAACCAAGGCTTATTTCCAACGAAGCTTCCATTGAGCAATACCTGAAAGGATTGTTGCTCATTTTGCTTTGAGAACGAGAGAGTGTTTGGAACAATTGTGACCATTAGTCCCTTGGGTGCCGTGACTGATGCTTTGTACATGGTTTTGTTTTGTCCAACATATGTTACTGTCCTGTAAAAGACAGCGGAAATGGTAGTAGAACTTAGATTAACTCGTAGTTGCATGGTAGGGTAATTGAGACCATCACTCCCTTTTGCAGATGGGTAACTTGAGCAACTCTTTGTTTTGTTTCCGCTGATGAGACCAATGTCTGAGCTATTGTAGCCTTCTTTGCAAAGGAAAGTGATGTACGAGTTCATATCCGCTTCGTAGATCAATCCAGGATTCAGTGCACTCACAGGGTCGATTAGCCCAGCCCCGGCAGACAACTCTGCGCCTTCAGGCTGAACCTTCATTGGTTTGGCTGAAATCAAAGGCAATCCAAAAATTTTCAACTTAATAATGTACATTTGTAATTTAGGGGATTTTATGGAAGTAGAAAAATGTGGTATACCTGTGGTCATCAAAGCAGATTTGATAGCAGCTATAGACCAATTGGGATGAAATGTTTTGACATAAGCAGCAGCAGCTGCAACATGAGGGCAAGCCATTGAGGTTCCTGAAATAACATTATAGTTCACGAGCCTGTTATCTCCTGCTTCACCGCTCATTGTCACTGCCGGGGAATATGCTGCCAATATATCTATCCCCGGTGCAGCAATGTCAGGCTGCACCACATTTGAAGCTTCATTACTAAGATGGAATTAAAACAGTACTAACAGTGCAACCATAAAACACAAACGGATATATTCATGAGCAAAAATGGAAAAAGAAAAATGGAATGATAGATTTATGTTTCTACCTTGAGAATGTTGTTCGTGATGATTTGAGGTCCTCTAGATGAAAAGGATGCAATGGAAGGAGCAGTCAAGCTGACGGTTACCGACTTGTCTATAACAGCTGTGGCTGCGCCTCTACTCATGATCATGCAGGAACAAGGATAAGTCATGTTAGTAACTGTCCAAAGAGATTATGATGCTTTCATCAATTTTGATGTCAAGTAAATTGACTCTCTATTCTTGAATATTTAACTTATATACTATCAAGAGGCAAAATAGAAATGGAAATTTCTCACTTGGTAGAGTTGATATAGCGGTCGATCTTCTGACCATCGGTGACGGTAACAGAAGAAGCAGATATCACAGCAGGAAATGCGGTATCAGTGAAGCTATCCATGGAAGTGATGATTCCAATCCCGCCTAATTCTTTGATGATAGTATCTTGACCCAGGGAGCCCTGGCAGTATACTATTCGTCCTTTCACTTTGTCCTCCCTCAAAGACCCCGACTCGCAGGCACTGTCGCACAAAACAGGCTAACTTAGTACAAATTCCAAAATGATTATTCTGTTTTGATTTTCTGGATAGGACAAAGGGAGTAGTACAATACGAAATTTTCTCATTTTCTTTTTGGTGAATGATAAACTTGTTAAAACTCCAAACAACGTAAACGATGTTATATACCTCGAATTCTTGGGACTTTCTTTCCTTGCGAGGAATCCATTCAGCAAAGGGTACTGCTGCTTAGCTGCTGTAAATGTGTTGACAGAAATTCCCTGAAATTTGTCAAGAAACCAATGAATTTTATGTACTCAGTAAACCCGACAAATAACAATTTCGGAGAATTAAAAGGAAAGGGAGGAGAAAATTACGTACAGGAATTTTGGTTCCGTCGCCTAATCTGACCAGCGATTGGAACTGTCGATCTATACTAGAAGCAGCAACAGTCATGATCCAGGGAGCAGTGTTTTCAACAGTTGAAAATTCAGGCCCGTCATTTCCTCCAGCACAAAGAGTCAAGATTCCTCTCTTCATGGCATGGAAAGCGCCAATGGCGATCGGATCATCTAGAAAAGTAGTGGTAGATCCTCCTATGGACACTGATATTATGTCCGCACCATCAGCAATGGCAGCATCGAAACCAGCTAAGAGATCCGCGTCTTGGCAGCCTTTGCTCCAGCACACTTTATAACTCGCGATGCGAGCTGAAGGAACGCCTCCTCGGGCGATTCCATTAGCCAGTCCAAACAAGTTGGTATCCGGGACGGCTACTCCGGCAGCAGTAGAGGCTGTATGCGATCCATGTCCGTGCAAATCAGCCGGAGTTAGCGGGTCATCGTCAGCAGCACCGGCAAGATTAAAGTATCGAGCACCAATCACTTTACTGCATATAATATGTCCGTAATCAAATCAAATCAATCTTAATCAGATACAAGATTTCATTTTTTTCCCCCTGTATAGATCCATGAAAGAAAGAAGAGAAACAAATAGCGTTAAGTACTTGTTGCATCCAGTGAAATTAACACCCTTGTCGCATTTGCCCTTCCATTTTGAAGGTGGGGGTCCAAAGCCTTCATCATTGAAACTTGCTGATTTGATCCATACACCTTCAAGTTGCATAAAATAAATGAATAGTATTTCAGATTCCAAATGATCATCATGAAACTAAACCAATTCTCCCACCATCCCAGAATTAGAGTCTATGTACACTGAACTAAATTAATTGGTACTCTCTCTGTCCCAAATTTATTAATGAGTTTGGATTTTTATTTTTAATTCAACTTGTACTGAAACTGAAAATGCAAACTTGCAATAATTTTGGGACCGAGAAAATACAACAAAAGTGACTTTTTTTTTGGGGGGACGGAGGGGAGTAAATTTTAACCGATTAAGAGGAATGATCATTGATCATCAAACCTGTATCGAGGAGAGCCACTATGGTGTTACTTTCTACTTGAGGCATTCGGGGAATTTTGGAATTCATTCCGAGAAAATCCCATGATCTTGTGGTGTGTAGCTTGAGCTTTTTGCTCAGGAACACTGAAACAACACTCTCGTGCTCTACAGAAACGAAAAATGCAAATGTTAGAAAATTGAATTTCACGACGAACTGAAAGATACTCAATTTATTCATCCATAATTATTTGGTCATTTACTTACGAGATAGCCAGTCTGCTTCATGAGGCAACAGTCTGGCCGCAAATCCGTTGAAGCTTTGCTCATAACTATATATCCTGGATTCTCTGGCTATCTTTTCACTGCAAATTGTACATTAAACATTGAAATGAACAATTTGGTTTATATGACTTATAAGTTGATGTGGGGGATTAAAACACAAAAATATGTATAAACGCTGAATTAAATTACTCTTTGATTGCTTCACGCAGAAGGTTGTGGTGTTGATCCACTGCAGATATCCTATATTCCGGCATTTCTCCCATGTACACAATATACGTCTACAAATAATGAAAAAATCATTGGTGCAATAAGAAAAATGCATAATGAATGAAGTTCCAACCAGCTTAATTAGTGAAGGAAAAAAAAAAAAACCATGATTTTGAGAAGATGACCTTTCTTTCATTATCGGCTCCATTAACAAGAGCAACCAGGCTCAAATAGCTGAAGAATAATAGTGACAGTTTTAGCTTCATCTTCACGAATTATGCAAATACAGTGCTGATTTAATTGTCTATCCCACTGTCTTTGCTTGAAAGAAGAGTGTGTATTATGGGTATTAATAGTTGAAGGATAAGCGGGACAAAGAAAGTCTTCAAATACAACAGCAAAGTGAGATTCCTTGGAGATTCAGGCGACCAACATTAAAATTGTATTCAGGGATTTACTTAACCACTTTTTAGATCCCAATAGGATAAAAATATTTTCAGAAACAACAAAAATGTAAACAAACATCACCGTAAAATCCAAAGCAAATCATTCAGTTTATAATTACATTTCAAATCTAGGTTTGCATTGACAAAGTCTTATACGTGGGTAACAACCTTTTTTCATGTATACAAGCAAAATTTTCATTTTATTACTGGTGGTAACTTTTATGTTTATGTGATATTGTTAAGGGTCACAATTTCAAAATTTATCGTGTCTATATTACACTTAAAGTGAACAAATCAAGTGAAAATAGTTTAATCCAGTGCTCTTGTAATCTTAATTTGTTCAAAGGATTACATGTCACTTCCAATCAAGTTGAAAACGTATTTGGTCTGTTATTGTTGTACATGTTACTTCCAACAGATATTAAAAATATAGTACAAGGCATCACCCTATTAATCTAAAGCCACAGAATGCAATGTATGATTTTATTCAGAGCAATGATAGACTTCATTCATTGATTGAATTATAAGACACATTTTTTCTTAAAATTTTTTTGGTTAACAACGAACTAAAGCTCTAGCCTTATGGACTTTATCATTACCCAATACTATGTCAATACAATCGGGTGCTTCGGTAAAAAAATTTAAAAAAATTGATGTAGACAAAAAGAATTTTACTTTTTTTTTTTTGGACAAAACTAACTCTTTCAGATTTGGCAAATCCGAGAGTCTAATTAAACGGACACTCGGATTTCTCAAATCCGAACCAATAAAATATAATAAAAATTATATGTTTTCGTTATTTTGGAAAATAAGGAAAATAAGGTCAACAGGTGAACAGTGACATCGGATTTGAGAAATCCGAAAGGTTTTAAAATTTAATATTCTAAAAATGCTAAAGAAATGACAGGCAAATTCAAAATTTAGAACAGTGGTTTCGGAAATCCGACTTCTAAGATTTAGGGGTTTGGGGTTAAGATTCGGATTAGCCAAATCCGAGAGCTGCCTTTCAATTGAAGGGTAATCCGTCCTTGTGGATAAGGTTGTTGGATGTATTAAATCGGATCGGATGAGGTGAAGGATAATCGGATTTGCTAAATTCGAGAGCCCCACATGAATAGTGACTCTCGGATTCGCTAAATCCAAAACAACGTGATATAAAAAGAAAAAATTGCAGCTTCCCTTCAGATCGGATTTTTCAATTTTTGAGGGTTAGGGAAGGTTGTGGCCGGAGTTCTTCCGGATTTTGGACGCACATTACCGCTAAATGCAACAAGAATCGTTATTCTAACGAGGTTAGTCATTAAATCAATTTTTTTTAGTTGTTTTGTTGTGTATTTATATTGTTTTGAAGATGGAAGATTGGTAGGGCTTAGAATTGATGATTGTGAATGTAATATGGTAATGTAGATGTTGTTACATTCAAAATCATCAATCCTAATCCCTAAATCCTATCAATTATCAATTGCTAGTTGCTGTGGTGCATAGTGCAAACAAACACATTATACCGGTTGCATTCGCCGTGGTGGATGAAGAGACCACTGAAAGTTGGACATTTTTCATGAAACATTTGAGGTATCATATTGTGAGCGGCACCAAAGTTAGTGTGATTCTGACCGGACTACTGGGCTTTTAAGGGCAATGTCGGAAATACTATAATGGAGCAATTTGGGTGATGAGGCCCAAGTCTATTGCCTCCGGCACGTTCGGAGCAATCTAGTGTCGAAGTATAGGAGTGCGAGAATCAAGCGGTTATGCCAAAATATGGGGAAGATGCTTAATTTTGAAAAATTCAAGCGACTGAGGCAAGAGCTCTGCGAATTAAAACCTAAAGCATGAGAGTATCTTCGTGACATAGGAGGGGTGTAATTGGACTCGTTTGAGAGCATGCCATCGTCATTGGGGAGTCACAACAACCAACATTTCCGAGAGTTATTACAACACCCTAAAAGGGATCCGGTTTTTGCCCATTAGAGTTATGATCGATGCTACATTTCACAAAACCTTGAAATTTTACCGAGAAGAATTGTTATTGGCGACGAGTTGTGATACGCCCATCCCCACTGATCTATGAAAAATCTACAAAGAGAAGAACAACAAAGCCGCCACCTATGATGATGAACCATTCGATGGCAACGATGATAGTTGGGAGGTGATAACGCCGACACAGCCTAGTAGGGGAGGTGGGATGGTGTATACGGTCACCTATAACGCCAAAAGGTGTTCGTGCAAGAAATGGCAAGAGTACCGGATGCCGTGTGCACATGCACTTTCCGTCGCACGTAAAAAAGGTGATCAACATGTTTTCCTATACCATAAGTGTTGGAGGCGCAAACATGGATCAAACAATTCGAATGCAATGGTTTTTCACTGGTGCCTGATGAGCGACAATAGCCTATGGTTGATTGGAAACTCCATCCTAATTATGAGAAGCTCGTGCAAAATGGCAGTCTGGGCCGACACCAAAGATGAAGACGCAAGATGCAAATGGATTACTGTGCTCGGCGAACAAGTAATGCAAATGGATTACTGTGCTCGAGATGCGGAGGAGATCATAATGCTAATTCGTTTCTTCACTCGCATCCCCAAATAGATATAACACGTTTGGTGGACGAATGGGAGCATGAAAGTGATTAGTTTGTTGTTGTATTTTGTAAAACACCTTATTATGCAGTGTTATCTCTTGGATTGATCATTTAATTCGTATCTTGTTTGATGTTTGTATTGAACTATAATCATAGAGTATAGTGTGGTGGAAGTTGTTGGATGTTTACAAGTTTTGGGAATTGGTAAAACAAAATTGACCTTATTAACAATTAGGTAACCCTCGAATTTGCCAAATCCGAAACTTACCATTTAGTACAAGGGTCGGATTCATCAAATCTGAGTCTGCCCCGTTTCTCTATTTTTTTTAGGGTAAGATGACTCGGATTTGCCAAATCCGAGGCCCACTGTTAGAAGATCTTTTGGATTTGGCAAAGTCGAGTGTGTCCGTTTCTCTGATATCGAATTCACCTAATCCGAGACTTCTTGCAAAGGGGTCTCTCGGATTTACCAAATCCGGGTCAGTCGGGGGTATATAAGGCGTTGACCTTCTTCCCCCCAATTCATTTTCAGCCCCCCTCTGATTTTTCCCTACCACCGCCGCGGCTCCTCCCTCCTCCACCACGTAAATTCGCCACTCCCGGCCATATCCACTCCGCGGCCGCCGTTCCCCCATCACCGCCGGTCTCCACCACTCCGTCGCTGTCGTTCCCCCATCACCATCGTTCCCACACCACCACCATGCACCACCTCCGTGAACACCACCACCACCTCCGCCAACACCACCACCACTCCTTCACTGATCCACTGCCACCGCTGTCATCCTTCACCCTCTCCACCGCTGCCTCCAGCGTCGTTTCCAATACAAAGGTAACATCCTTCCCCTTTTCAGATTTACCCTAATTTTTGCCCTAATAATTTTTTTTAAAATTTTTTTTTGCTCTTAATAGTATTTGAAATGATTAATATGTTCGGATTTGTTGTTATTGTGCATATTTTATTGATGCGATGGTGATTATTTTTTTTGCCTCCCTAAACGTTGGAATTAGGTAATCCGAGAGTGTATTTTTATAGTATTGTTATTGAAAGTGTTGGAATTGGAGCATGCATGTAGTTTATTAATATTGGAATTGTGTATTTGAGGAAAATGTATAATTATCTCTAAGCATGCATGTAATTTATTTATTTTTTTTTTGAAAGGGAGCATACATGTATGTTAGATGGTTCAATTAAGTGTAGGTTAATATCCTGGATTAGAAGTTTATTGATGTTGTTTAAGTTTTGGTGGGAAAGTACTCTAACAATTGAGAAACGAATATGAGGAATTGTGGATTTGTTTTTTTTTAATGTATATATAGTGTTGTGTATAGTGTTTTTTTTTTGTGATGTAGTCTTTAATGGAGGAGGATTCACCCAGTCCACCACCCAGTCCACAATATAATGAGTGATTTTTTCAGCCCGGTCCCATACGAGGGGAACTTTTGTATCTTCAAAAAGAACATCGGAATTTAGCAGTCTACCATGGCTCCGATTCAACGATCAAAACCGAACCTTTAAAAAATCGTCGGTTTGATCAAAAGTTTTAGGAGTGCTACGATAGTGATAAAACCCCTCCACAGACACGAACGCTCATGTAAGCGCCGGGTTCGAGAGGGTATTGGAAATAGGTTGCAAAAAGTGTGGTAATTGTCTCATCACCGCTTTGGTGGAACAATGGAGACACTTTTCACTTTCCATTCGGTGAGGCAACCGTGACGTTGCAAGATGTGAAAGTCCTATTTGGTCTCCGGGTCAATGGGAACATGGTTTGTAGTGTGACGCCAAACCATGTGTGGTGCAATGGCAATCAATTTGCCAAGAGATGTTGGGATTCACCCCCTGCCGAGGGTCGAATAAATGAAAATACTCTTAAGATTTCGGTTGTAGAGAAAGCGGCGAAATGTGCAATCCCTGAAGTAGAATTTAAATTTATTTATATTTTCAATATAATTTGTATTAATTACTTTTTTGGCCAAACAAATATTAAGGTTTGAAGTGTTGTTTTTTTTTTTGTAGGTTCTCCGGAGGTCGTGTATCAACAAAGGGCCCGATTAATGCTCTTGTGGTTTATTGGTTCTTTTATATTGATTTATATTTACTGAACAGTGTTAGTTTATATTTATTGAACTATTTGGGGGATTTTAATCATTGTACAAAACTTAGTTGGGATCGGCTCTACGTGCTTACTTGTATTCTAGCTTGAGCGAGGCTAGTCATCATGAAAAATGTGATGTAACCGGCTGTGTGTATCTTCTACGGGTATTTATTTATTCAATACGTGACAATTCAATTTGAAAAACATTTATTATATTTTGAAGTATTATTATTTATTATTGTTGTTATTGATTTAGGTTTGGGCATACGAGCGGATCCCGAGAATCATGCCCCAAAGAATTTAAAGAGATTTGAAGAGAATACTATAGCTCCTTTAGCTTATCGATGAATTTATTTCTTATACTCTTAATTTAAAAATTACTAATATTTTTATTATTTTTATTGGATAAATAATACCTTTGATTTTTTTTTTTTGTATTGAAAGGTGGAATTAGTCATACTCCTACAAGGACGTCCCAAGGTCTAGTCTCCCGGATTCTAGAGCCAATTGACCTCCTTAAAAGCCGGTGATGTAAGCATGGAAAGGTTCTCAATTTATTATTTTTTTTCCATCATTCTTATATGAATTGATTCGTTAATTCTCAATTTTTTCACAATTTGTTTAGCAACCCTACGAGAATCTTCTCCCTACCCTCCCTGATTGTTGTAAACATGAAAGTGCCATTTGGGTGGCAAGGACGTGGATGTTCTACTGGGCTATCCGAAAATCCCACGAAATTGACAGGGTCGTGAGACAGTTTGGCTACATTCAAGGAATTCTCCGATGGCCTATGATTGCCAATATCCAAGAGAATATAAATGCTCATGAACACAACATGTCTAGGATTACTGAGAAAAATTGGGTAGAACACCATAGTAAAGTACGCCCCTATTGGAATAGGAGAGCCCGAAACATTCCTACAGATTTGGAGGAAGGGGAGCCCGGTCAAACTAATGAGAAGTACGAAGCGTGGCATAACAAAGGTTCGGTGAAATTGATAAGCGATCCGAGCCACTACTCATCAGCCGGATATGAGGCTTTCTCGAGCCAGGTGAAAGTCTATATAAGTGTTTATTCTCAATTAATCTACGTATGGAAGTGCATTTTACTCTATTCATATAAATTTTGAATTATACTCTTTTAGTTAACGCATTATTTGATTTTCAGGGTGAAGTGCTGAACAATGTCCATATGAGGGCCATATCATTCGAAGAAGAACGTCGTAGAGCCCATGACCTAGACAACGAGCTCGAAAAGGTGCTCGACTATTTTGCGGAGGTAACCCACACTGCTTTAACTCTCGGAAAGGACGATGACATGGAAATTGAGGATTCCCAAATCCTTATGAAGTATGATGCGAGTCGCCCATCACAAGGTCCGCACAGTGAAACAATAAAGTCGTGGCTAAGAGATAAAATTGGAGGGGGAAGAAAGCGAAGGAATTCTTTCAGGCCATCACAGGATCACACGGAAGGTTCTGGTCAACACGAGCAAGAGAACCGAGGAGGAGAAAATGTGGGAGGAGGGGTAGAAATGGAAGAAGACAATGTGAGAAGAGAGAACGATATTGGTTCTTTGAGAGGATCTTACACTCCAAGTGAAGAAGAGGTACCTCTCACCATTATTCTCGGAGGAGAATCGCAAGTCCTAAACGTGGAGCCAATTCTTACAATCCATCCAGAGCCGCATGAACAAGGGGTTCACAAATCTGACAAGCTACGCAACCCGCTGGTTAAATTTACCCCACCCACTATTCCTAGAATAGAAAAAAATGATTGTTGATTAGTCTTTTTTAGGGTTTTTGAATGATTTTGGATTGTTAGTTGGGAATTTTACATTATATTGTTATGAAAATGTGATCTTTTTGTTGTTGAATTAGTTTGTTATGAGTTGGTTGTTGGTGCTGTTTAAACAGGGTTAGGACTGGTGAAAACCAGTCCATTATTTTTTTCAAGTTTCTGGTATGTCTTGGATTTGGCAAATCCGAAAGATACTATTTGGGGTTCTTTCGGATTTGGTAAATCCGAGAGTTCCGTAGATTTTACAGATCTTTCGGATTTGACAAATCCGAGACCCCTCCTATCTAATTTTACACTTGGAATTTTTTTTCGAAATTTAAAATAATATTTTATTCAACAACTCGGATTTTTGAAATTCGAAACACTTTGTCTTGGATTTGGCTTATCCGTTTCTAGACAAATTTCATTTTTGAACACTTAGATTTTTTTCAAATATAAATTATTTTTTTATTGAAATCTTTCGGATTTGTCAAATCCGAAACTTGATTAATTTTAATTAATCATTTAATTAAATTTAATTAATTTCAACTTGGACGACTTTCGAAGTAGACAAATCCGAGTTATCTTGCTCTCGGATTTGATAAATCCGACTCTTTGTGCCTCTCGGATTTGACAAATCCGAGACATTTACTTTTGTCCACCTTATTTCTCTTCAAATTATTTTTATCCAAGTATTTTCTTTGATAATTTTTTCGGTAAAAAACTCCAATACAATTGAGGAGTTTTTTTCTTTTCTTTTTCTTTTTGGTGAACCACCAGTAAAGTTTTGATTTGTTATTTACAAAACCATCAGTAAGTAACACATTCATTGTGCCAGTGCCATTGTAATCTTTCACCATCTCTATAATATAACCATTCTTCCCAATAGTTAAACGTCCATGCAACATTATCAATCCTGATCATGCACAATCTCCAGACATGTCTATTTCATGACAGCGTAAAACTCCGGCAGCTCCTCCAAAGCACAACCACCTCTCACTGCCTTCATTCAAATTCCATCTTACTCTATGCAGTGCTATTTTCTTTGGCGGAAATTCTTCAACTTTCTTAGGCTGCGCATTTTCAACTCCACTTATGAGAAGGGGAGGCTGTTGATCTGCAGATGTGTCTCCGTCATTGGATCCGCAAGTCAAAAGCTGTTGATCATCTTCCGACTTTTTCTTACTCTTACGTTTTGATATGGATGCCTGTTTGCTGGTCATTATGAGTAACTTGTCATCGGTTTGAACTTTTTCCAATTCCTCGTCAATTTTCTTCTCTTTATGAGAGCTGTGGGTTACCCACCGCTTTGTCCATGGAGTTTCAGACCACTCCTTATCTGACTTCTTCATCGGGAACGGGATATTAGGCAAGGAAGTGAACATAGTTAGTTCCAAATCTTCCACAGCTAACATTCCACAAAGAAAATGTGGTGCTCGATTTCGCAGATGATCCTTTTCCACGGCCTTGGTAGTAAGCTGATCACGGGAAAAGCAAAATTATGTAAGAGCAAGTACCAACATATTTTCAGAAATGTTTTTCCAATAAACTTCCAGAGGAAAATAAATAGCTTTTAAGTCCTATATGTCCAGTTTGATGGTCAAATATCATCCACCTGATTTGTGGACAGGCTAAGAGCCTCAAGTTCTTCAAGATTTTAAAGCTGAGACTGATGTACTCTTTTTACACGATCAATCATAAATATCATATTCATCATGCAATCGGAAGTCTTTCTATGTATCCTCAATCACATTTATCGGAAATGCGCCTATGAGCTTTAGCTCCCACCAACTGACCATAGAGTTCACAACAGGAATAGGCAGTATAATTGACAACACATCAAATTGAGTAAATTCAGATATTTGATAAGCAACAGGAACCATGCTACTGAAGTGGAACTTGAGATAGATGTTACAAACCTGGAAACGAAGAGCAGCACCATCTGCACCACAATAAGCAACCATGCCTAAAATCCAAGGAAAAAGGTAAAGGGTACATGACATCATATGAACAATAATGATAAGCCGTACTTCATCAGAGAAAAGTTCAATATACTGACAGAGGTCATGCAACTGGTAGTCATGAACGGTAAACTCAACAGAAGAGTTGCGTTTTCTTTAGTTTGTAAGCTAACTCGCTAACTGGTCTAACTGTAGACACTCCTACCAACTCAAAGAAGCTTATCAATGACAAATGCCTTCGGTAAACTTTAGCTATTAAAGCTGACTCATAAGTTAAGTTTCAGATCGTTTAGGCAAAATTCAACTGATGTATTGAAAAAATAATAAGAATAAATAAACAGAAATAACTGATCTTAAGATAGATTCCATCTGTCGTAAAATTAAAAGCCCATGGCTCTTTCCTTCCCATGTTTCAAGTATGGAAATCCCATTCCAGTAATCCTGACCCTAAAGGTACCTTTTATGCAAAAGCTCAAGGTTGCAAGGACGATTGAAATTTTTCCACGGTTCACTCACCAAATTCTCGTAACAACTCTTAACCTGTTACACTTTTCATTTTGCAACAAAGAGGGTACTTAATAGAATTAGAGCACACAATAAAACTGAGAGCAAACCTGTTAATCGGGAGGTATGAACACTCCATAATGGAAATTGCGAACAGTAATAGCTGTGAACACCCTGCTGTTGAGTACCTACAAAAGGTTTTCCAGTAACAGGGACATCACATGCAGACTTTGACAAGCTGATGAACCTTAATGTTCCATCATCGAAGGTTACAAGAATACATCTACAAGTAGATAACCAAATTATGAGAAAACCATCAACTATAACGCCAAAATATTCTTATACTCCACCAGTAAGATTCGCACCTTGGATCAGGTACCCAGTCCAAACTATAGATAATCCGTTGGATGGGATTTAATTCCCATAATGGACGAAATGGATCACTGCAAGCAACAAAGAACACTTAAAAATTTAGTCATGATAACTATACACTCCAAATCTTCCTATTGAAATAAAATGGCTAAAACATTAACAAACAAATAAACCTATCACAAGCAAGGGTCAGATATACTAATCTTATCTCGCCAATGTGATCAAACTAGAGGATCATATATACCAAAAGGCTAAAACATTAACAAGCACATGAATCCATCCGACTTCAGGGTCAGATATACAAATCTTTTCTCCCTCATGTATAACCCACTTTTTCTAACTTTTTTCACAAGATATTATGATAAAGAGCTCAATTGTACTGGACCTAAATAAAAAGACAATGACAGAAACTAAAAAGATGACGAGACCAGAGTGAGAAATCATGTCAGCAACGAAGATAAATAAGAAAATCTTACATACCATAAATCCCAAAACTTCAAGCCTTTGTGACCAGCAGTGACAACAATATTTGAACTCTCAGAAGAACTGCAAAAGTAAATTTGAACGTTTTTAACGAAATTCGACAATGTATTTTCTACGAAAAAATCTATCAAGAATCCAGACAGAGGTAAAGAAAAAAGAATAGAACGAAAAAATATTGAAATATGTGACTTGGTTAGTTGACAATGTGCTCAGTTCAACGTGTATTAACCTCAAATTGATTCAACATCGACTCCTACGAAATATCCGGACCTTTTAAATTTTTTACTAATTCTAGTATAATTCTAGTATGTTGAACTGATTTATTCTTTTGCTGATGCAGAAATTCTGGGGGCCAAGGGTGTGGAACATCAACCAAATTAGAGAAACAAATTAAGCAGAAAGAGTATTGATTAATTGTAAAACTCATAAGTAGTGATATCCAGGAGCAGAGAAAGAAAGACACTCAGCATCACAAACCTTCCGGCAGGTGCCCAAGAAAGTGCTCTGATAGGAACTGTGTCCGCACTGAAACAAAGCAAAGGCTTGTTTTCTAAACAGGGCATCAAATAGATTATGTCAGCGAATAGTACCTCCAGTTAAACATTCTCAAACTAAACCAGCTTTGAGACATATCTGTATGAGTTATGATACGCATCTCTACAAAGTTATCTCTAGTTTGCACCTCCACGTGAAGCATTTATCTAGTAAAAATTTTAGATATACTTATCATTACCACATTATCCATTGCAAATGGAGCAGGAAGAGTCATCATTGACAATTCTTTCAGCTTTGTGCTAATAATGGATTAGATCAAAATGGCTAATTTAAATTCTGGCGCTTCTTAATTTTGGTGAAGTTTCCAAAAATCAATATATCAATGCACCAATGCGTCTTGGGTCGTACTACTTAAACAGCCTCTCTATATTGATATATAGGGGTAAGGCTGCGTACATGTTGACTCCCCAGACCCCAACCAAGTTGGGATGATACTGGGTATAGGTGTTAAGTAGAGATAATTTGTAGAGATGTATATCACTATTGTATTTACATGGTAAAAGAAATTCAAAGATGTAATACCTTGTAACATAGTAGTACTACAGAATTTCCACAAAGCAACCTGAAGAAACCCAAAATGAAATATTTAATTCAAAATATACCCAAAGATACTCATATCATAAAGGCCATGTGGAGGACAATCCACAAAAAAGAACGATATCTAGCAGGTATAATATATTATCTCATCACCAATCCAGTATATTACAGGGCATATTGATCTGTAATTGCAGAAGGGCGAGGGATCGTGGCTGGGGCTCTGGTCTAAATTAGACAGTCCAGGGCACGGGAACACTTTGAAACAAAAAAATCCAATGACAAACAAGAGAAATAAAGAAAGCAAGGTGGAACACTACCACTCCATCATGACATCCTGCCAGAATCATATCATGTGGGAAGGACGCTGACCATTCCAGTGCCAAGGGAATGCTGGCCAACATAAATAGGATGTAAACAGTTATAATAAGGAAAGCACAATATTCCGCAAAATCTAGCACATTCAAGATGTCCAAAGATACAACACATGAAAGTTGTAAGAAATTTCTGCATCATGCAAATCACATGCATATTTCGTAGGTCCAATAGAATTAGGTTTCCCTACTGCATTGCCTAAGATAAAATAAATATGCGACAAGTATTTGGCTAAAAGATACAACTTCTGAAACTAGTTTAGTACAGAGAATACTACAAACAAACCTCTGAGATGAACATTGGAGAAAAGGTCACCTAAAGTGTAAATACTTTTGAAAAGCAAAGTGACGACAAACCCAAACAGATATTCGTTGAAACAGACGAAAATGTGTGGAGGATACTGTCAAAGAATCTTAGAGCTACCATCTTGAAGTTGGTTTCGGGGTCTATACTACCAAAATTAGCCCACATCCATCAATATGAACTCTCCCAAAAAAGGGAAGCTGCTTGACACAGGTAAAAGGATAAAAAACAAACCAGTTCATTCAACTTGCATGCAGTCACGCATAACATAGACCAGCATATAGTAACTACCTTTGCCTATCACCAAACATTATCCTTGAACATCTGAATACTGGTTGCAACTTCATGAAGCGAGGATCGGTAGTTTCTCCTTGAGAATCAGAAAAAAGAACTTTAACAGTTTGAGGAAAAGGAATCTCCCAGCTGTGGTAGACCATTAGGCACAAAAGTGGTCAGAATAAGACCTATTTTACCATACAAAACTAAAAAGGCATACTGAAGGATACCAAAAACTAATATAATGAACTTAAGAAGACCCAGTCCAAAAAATTCAAGCTTATGATTAACCACCCTGACAAACAATCTCCCGTCACTAAGCAATATCAGCAGTCAAGGAACCAGTCATGGTCAAAATAAAGTCACATTCCAATCCGTAAAATGAAAAGATTCATAGCACAACAAAGAGCAGATATACCCAATTGTCCACTGAAACTGGGATATGTTATCCAAATCACACATGTATCAAGAAACAAATTTGGCAAATTAAAGAGAAAGAATAGAACTCTTAAACATGGTTTTTGAATCGTAAAGGATAATGCTGGGAGTAACAAAAGAAGACAAATTTCCACTTTTCTCCTTGATTCAAAATTGTTCTGTTCTCTTGCGAGAACCTAGGTTGCCACATCATGAAAAGTTTGTAAACTTACAGTAAATCATGAACACAACTAACAATTTGTGGCAAACCTTTATAGTTTACCATAAACCAAGATCAAAACAACTAGGCAAAGTAGGGACTAGAAATTTTGTTCAAAAGTATGAAAAAACACCACCTATATTACTGAAACCTATGGAAACTACACTAAAAATAAATTATCAATTTTAGATCTGTCACCCATGTCGCAAACCTTAAGATTCATTAACTCATCCTAATAAATTAAAATCTTCATTTCCCCAAACCCCCCAAAAAAAAAAAAATAAATAAATAAACTCCAACCAAAACAAATTCTGTACCACTTACACTTCAAGTGCACCATTTCCCAGCAAGACAGCAAGATAACCCATTCTTTGTTTGTCAGAAACACCAGAAGGGCGCCATTTCACATCCCAGGCAACTTTTCCATTGTGAGCTAAACATAAAACCATTCTAGGCAAAGCAACATCATTGGGAATGGAACACTTATTTGGGCTAGGGTCACACCTCACGGTATCAGGTGGACTCACCACTGATGGAGAATCCAGGATGGATGATTCTACATTCTCAAGTAAACTAGACTGACAAGGAGCACTTTCAGGATTCTGAATCCCAGTCCTAGCCTTAACTTTTGATTTTCTGCATGCCGTAGAACGTGACTTATTGAGAGGTACCTTGTCATTCACTTTCCGCAGTTTTGTAGAGTTCTTCTTGGAAAGATGGGTGTTGCTTATGCTAGAATCCTTATCGACACTAGGCAATGTGGATGAATCTATTGAGAGCGGGACTGCGAGAGATTCAACAGCCTGGCTTTCACTAGAAGGTGTTTTCCTTGGTCGACCACGTGGCTTCTTCTCCACATTCACATCCACAGGGCATTTCCGTGGTCTACCTCGTGGTCCCTTCTGTTTAGGTGGTTCCAATGAAGCAGCTTCCATCACACTAGACCTCTGTTTCCGCTTTTTCTTATTCTGAGCTTGCATGACTTTTTCCATGTTTAAGCTTAGTACACACCATACCTGCAACATGCCTCGGCCCACAACTGGTACACCCAATTTATGGTAACTGGATTCTGGAGGATGAGCGGCAACTGCAATGAACTGTGAAATGATTAAACTAAAACAAATTTTATTGATTCGCATCAACTATGCTCTGCCATAGAATTTAACAAAACCGTGATTTGTATTATAAGCGCGGATCTCTCTCCCCAAAATGTGGACAACATCAACAAGAAAAAGGAAGCAAAAAGAATCCAATACAAAACTGTAAGCATAAATCAGAAGAAAGCCTATTTCAAAGTTAAGGTTTAGATTATATAAACATCGATCCATTTGTTGCTACCAAAATATTTATTCTAGAAAAATCTTGATACTATGTCATTCTTGGTTGATGTCCTGCAAATTACAATGGAATTAGGTTCATCGTAAAAGATTTTCTTCAATATGCTCTTTCTAAATCCTGACCAGATTATCCGGTAGAAAACCATGTTAGCTACAGTAACAATTCTAATCACTTTTGAGGATGGGATACAAACCTTGTGAGTTGTAATGCACCCTTATGCAATAAAACCGCACATTATCTTCTTAAGGAAATAACTCTATCTAAGACCAGAAAAGGAAGACACGGTATGCAAACCAAGAAAGCACCGTTAACAAGTACCTCACTTCTGATATTACAGTTGGAATGTGAACGGACTCTCGGACACCAATCGAGCGCTGAAACTAAACCTCCGACATTCATAACAAAATCGTTGCTGCATACATTCAAATGAACAAGTCTTAATTGATATATATATATATATAAAATATATATATATATATATATGAGAAGAGAGAACCTAAAACCACAACTTAGAGACCTACCTGGAATCTAAAAATGTTGCATCTGCCTTTTCATCACTTCTCTGTCCCATGGTAGATAAAGTATTTAGTTAACTCAAATACTACAAAGGTCCCAAACATCAAGAAGCCATGAAACTATCAAATTCACTCATCTTGTACCTTTGGAACAGCAGCAGATGAAAACTGCGGTAATGTCACAGCACCAACGAAATCTTTCCCCCCGCTCAGACTTTGATTTACAAACCTCAAAGTTTTTGATGGATAACTGAATTGCCTCCATTCTCTGCAATAGACACTCAGTTAACTTATATTGAAGGAATAAACTGTAAATACACATCACAAATAAAATCGGGAAAACACAAAGCCAGTAAAATCAAATAAAACTTGCAATACGTTTCAATGTAGTTCTGGAAACCAAATCACTCCTGTTTAAGTTGAGTGAATTTAAGCATTTTTACTCATTCTCTTCCGAATATGCAAATTACTCAAAGTAACCAAATTAAAATGAAGCAATTATCATACTGACCTTATAAAAGTGATGGAAGATGATAAGCGTCGAATTTCGGCAGGATCGAAACCTTGCTGGTCAGTCTCTCCGCAGAGTCTGGAGATTGTATCCACGGCTTTGAAATGATTCTGAACGGAATAGTCGAACTCGGAAACGGTAATTCCAGGAGGGAGTTCACCTTCATTGATGTTGTTGTTCTGGTTGGGGGGAATGAAACCCTCGGCGGCGACTCCGTCGGGAATGGCCTTCTGCTCCGGTTGCTCTTTCCTCTTCGTTTTCAACTTCTTCCTCCGATTAAATACTGTGGCTATCGGAACGTCCATGTCGATATCGGTGGCAGCTTCTTTGTCCTCCATTCTTCAACTCAAACAGAGCCAACTAGTACAACACTGGTTCCCCTGCAAATTGGCGTTAGACTGCGTTTAAGTATGTCTGCGAATTTGGGCTCTCCCGCCTTACGATTATAAGTTAACCTCGCTATTAAGCTGGAAAGTTTGTAGCCTGTGACCCAAAGGACTAATTTAAGACCAAATGTTAGGCCCATCGCAAGATACTGATTATTTATTGATTCTCATTTGATTAGGTCAGATCAAAATATACTACTTGTTGTGAGTTGTGACGAACAATTAGTTCAATTTTAATTTATAAAAATAGTTTTTTCTCTCTATTCAAAAAATTAAAAAAGAAATAGTTCACAGTATGTTTTGTGATTTAAACTACAACTAACATAAAACGTAAAATATAATGTGACTTATTCTTATAGGATAAAGAGAACACTAAAACTTATACATTTTGTATTTTATAACGTGGACTATTGTTTGATACAAGGTGAATGATAATATAATAATAATTAACGATCATTTTCATTTATTAACTCATGTTTTCTTCAATGGATTTTTCTGACAAAGAAGATGTAGTTGCTTCCCAGTTTCCACAATACAAAGATGTGCACGGTGAACGCAAAGAAGAGAAGAGATATGGACAGAAAAAAAGGAGATGAGAGAAGACTCAAAAGAGAGAAAGCACAATAAGGGTAAATGTGAAAGTACTGTAAAATGGAATTAGAACAAGGTTTAAAAAATAAGAAGGAATCAGTATAAAAATTTATGTTCATTTTTAAGCAGGACATAGATTATCAATTCGATGAATTTAATAAATTTAGGATTTCCTCCGTTTCCATATAATTAAAAGGCACAAATTTAAACCCTAAATTCCAAAATTTATATAAATAAAGAACGGAGAGGTCCAAGACGATCTCCCCTTCAAGCAAACAAACTGGGTAATTACACTTGAAATTTTTCTAACAATTTTGGCGAAATAAAATACTACTCAATATAATCGTCATTACGAAAATACTCCAGTAATTTGGCATATTAATCGCATCCATGTCATTGTAAATCTTGTTTTCTTCCTATATAACCCTGTTTTTCCCACATTGAGCCTAAACATTACTTTGTTGATCTTGCTTTTAATTAACCGCGTGCGTGAACACGATAACTTCAAACAAGTATTAGAGGAAGAATGAGCGATCTGTATAATAAGCTAAACATCTCATCATGTATTACTTTTGTATTTAAATGATTCTCGAGTTTATCAAACTATAAAATAACAAATACTGGATGGAAAAGGCCACAAACTAATTACGAAGTGTTTAAAATTGCACAGACCATGACGAATTTCCGCCGACCTTTTTCTGTTGATTTGGGTTCTAACTAATGAACATGATACATATAAGCCTTTATATATGTTTTGCATCTGAGGTTGCCTATAAATTTGCCGACACAATAAATGAAGAACTCGTGTTTGAAGTGAATTAAAACTCTTGATAAGCAGGACTCTATTGTGCGATCCTCATGAAAAAACAAGCGTGACAACAATATTAGTTGATGTGTAGAGAGGTGACATTTGCCTTCTAAACAATAGCAGAGAAGATAATATTTAGCTATTGATCAGAAGACAATAACGTGGAGTTATGCAAACCACAGGGGTTCCGTGTGTGTTAACTTTATGGATCAATTTTTTGGATGAAACTATTATTATAAATCACCATTTCCAATCAAGAATATAGTACTATTATGATGCAATGATGCACTATACTTCCCTTAATTTGATATAATTTCGAGATCGATTCCTTTAATTTGACACATCACATGCATCTGTACCCATTTTACATCTTTAACGTTTTCGTAATATTTTACTTGATCTTCTTTAACAGTTAACACCAACCACCATGTTGTTTGTCAACCTTTTCCAAAAAATAGTAGTTGACTTTTTTTCTGTTGATTATAAAAATGGAAAGCAAAAGTATCTTAAAACCATCGTTTATTTACTTTACGGTGTCGGCAAAAGGTCTAATCCGAGATGAATACGGGCGCGCGATTGATTGAGGGACTTACCGCGACTTTTGGCTTCTCTTTAATTGTAGAGGTTGAATTAGGGGGGTTGGTTTCAGGATTCGAAACTTGCATGAGATTAAGATATGGAAAAGTATTGGCGGATATCGATAATCATACTATTGTGACGATAATTTTGAACCCGGGAGCCTGTGGAGTCTCTGTATGATAGCATATGGTACTATTTACTAAGTAGAATATGGACGGCGCTGTGGTGGTCTAACCGAATATATATGTATGTGACAAACTTTATGACTTATTCCTCCGGTCCTAATTTTTTTTTTTAATATTATATACTCATTATTCGAAGTCATTGTTCTGACTAATCCGAATTCGAGTCGGGTTAGTCCCTCTGATCCTACATTTTGATTTGTCTTAAATTTAATTTGGTATATTCTTTTAATGAAAAATAAAACTACAACAATGTACTTTTTACATTCATTGTGTTCTTTCACTTGTTATAAAATTTTTTTAACACGATAAATGAAACATCCATTTAATAGAAGTTCTCCACAGGGGATGAAACTTTCATCACGAAAGGAAAAAACCAAAAAAAAAGGAGAATTAAAAAGTCCCATGCGTAAAGGCTATGATCCAATCTTAACCACGAATTTAAATCCAATATTCCAATTTCCAATCGATTGGACATTTGAGTTGTCTGCGTCAAGCATACGAGGTCGACGCGGTTAAGGTTCGTTCCGTAACATCATTAATTACAAGGGAAAGTAGCCGACAAATTAAGAGTTTTGATCTGAATAATAAAAGTAGTAGGTTGAGATCAGTTTTCTGTGGCCACTTCATCATTAAAGGCTTAAAGCTCATTGAGATCTTATGCTTCCTTGATAGTTCTTGAAATTTTCGAAACGTGATTACATTACAAACCCCATCAGTCACCATTTTCCTAAATTTGATTCTCGTACGGAAAAAAAAGAAGAAGAAAATATCATGTTCAATAACTATCGTGTGGCGAATTAAAATGTGCCAAATGAAATGGTCATGGAATCGTTTGAGGTTTATAAGACCGCTTTAACTTATCCCTTCCTTCCAAGTATGAACATATTCGACCCTCAATCTCGAAATTATTGTCTAATTTGAGTTTTTCATTTTTAGTATAAATTGTACTATAAGTAAAAATTTAAACTGGACAATAATTTTGAGACCATATATATTCCCTTCCCAAATAAATACGAGTCCCTTTACGAAATAGAAGAAATTCATTATCACAAAACTAAAGGGGGAAAAGGATAGCAAAATAGAAAGGGAGGAAAACAAATTAGCTTCATTTAAGCTGGCAAAACATATTACGCAATCTTAGCTCATAAAATCAAAGAAGCATTGATTATCACAAAAATATGGCGACAAGGTATACATATAACTGCAACTACTAATCCAATGGGAAAATGAAGAGATTAGCTGAATAAAGAACATCATTAATTAGATAACTTTTAACAATAAGAGCGATTGATTATTGCAAATTGTTCTGAAGTACATGCATATACTGTGATAATATACATAGCTGCGATCATTAGGGTTGATCAATAGGTAGAATAACATGCTATATAGAGTAGAGAAATTTCAGGAGTTATAAATATAAAACTATCACTATGAAACTAAGGGCTCGTTTGATAAAACTTAATTTGGGTTTGAAGTCTGAAATCTGAAAACTGAATTATAAGTACTGAATTGATTACGTTTGTCGTGTTTGATAAAAACCAAAATCTAAAGTATCTCAATTTATAATTTTATCTGAAATCTGAAATTTGAACACTGAAATTCAAAGTATCTGAAATTTAAAGTTTGTTATTGTGATACAAAATGTCTGAAATCTGAAGTCTGAATACTGAAATTTAAAGTATCTCAATTTATAATTTTATCTAAAAAAATAAGTGATGTATATGAAACTATGATAACAAAAATAATAATAATATTATTAAATAATGTAATAAAAATATTTAAATTTTATTATGTTATTATTTTTTCAATTAATAATAATGTCATATTTTATCATTGTCAAAAAAAATTCATATTTTATGGTAAAGATATATTGATCATGGAATTTAATGAATTTTAATTTTTATATTAAAATAAATATTTATTAAATAAAAAATAATCTACATAAATTTTAATTTAGAACTAGACATCATGATTAATAAAAATATTTCAAGATAAAATATCAAAAGTATAAATATAAAAATAAATAAATAGAAAAAAATCGTCTCAAAAATTCAGTTCAGACATAAGTGATAGGCATATCACTTATTTTTAGGCTCACATTTCTACTAGCATTTCAAACCCACTTAATTTATTACGACATCCTACTTTGAGTTATCAAACACACTTAAAATTTAAGTCCTTAATAAATTAAATTCTTTAGCAATTAAGTTGTTATGCTATTAGAATGAGGGAGATCGTATCATCGGCCCCTCTCCCCTCTCTCTCTCTCAAACCCCAACTTCGAAAAAAAATTTCTTCCCCCATCTTCTAATCATGGGAGGATGGGGGAATTAAACTTGTTTAGTCGTTTTTCGTTTTGTTATTTATCGTTTAATAAGTGAGGTTATTCTCACAAATTAGTTCCTTCAATAGGTTATTTAGATAATCTTTTGAGAGTGTAGGGTTTTCTTGTTCGCAGTGTTTTTTCAGTAGGTTGCTCTACTAAGAGGTAGGTCCGTTCTGCAGTGTTCATAGCGGCGTTGAAGATGTTCGCAACGTTACATGTGCCCCATGAAGAATCAGTCACCGCAGATCTAATATTTAGATATGTGGTTTGGAATTTTCAACAGAATTTTAGAGATATATTCGAGATCAGATTCAAACACTGGTACGTGATATTTCTGTCAATTATATGGGTAGATCTGTATATGTTTACCCACGGTAAACACAATAAAATGATACATTGTAAGTTGTGTTTGACTGTTTCTTTGTATCAATCAATCGCACTTGAACGATTTCTAGTAAATGAATGAAAGTACTATTTTACTTCAAAAAAAATTGTTATGATATTGTGTTATCAAACAATACTAATCAATTAAGTACTTAATTAATAAGTTTAAGTACTTAATTGATTTATCAAACAGGGCCTAAGTGTATGCTCCTTTCATTTTAAAATGATTGTTTATATTAATATTTCATTTTTTAAATATAAATTGTACTAAAAATAGGATTTCGAACTAGACAATTATATTAGAACAGCGGAAAATGTAAAAAATCAAATTCTAACATTTATATAACAGACGATGAATGTACACTTAACTTGCTACTTCATGTTTTTAGGACAAAGGGGCACATTACGTACCAAACATGAACCTCTGCACAATTCCCAATTCCCCAGCCTTTAACATGTGATTATACATGACTAAATTTACCGACACTAATTAGGCAAATGTGTGTACCTGCCGGCGGCCGCACGCTTTGGCATGACATGTCGGCATCCATCGGCAACTTGATCAAATTAATTCCAAAACTATATATCAATCAAATATCTATTTTCATCATTCAATACCAAACAAAAACGGTGATGCTAGATAGCTAACTGTGCAGACGTCGGCACCAATGAAATGGTTCACCGATTAGGCCATTAGACTCTATAATAAGCTTGCTAGGGTAAAACTAAATATGTATATTTGTATATTAAAAAAAGACTTTGCTAGGGTAACTTACGTACATATAAATAGTACTAACGTCGAGCTAGCTAGCTAATATATGTACAGTTGTACACACATGAAACCTGATGGTTAAGATGGCGCTTTTCTTTCCCGGACAAACACCGGCAAACCGCCACGGAAAGTGGCGGTGAGCCCCGGAGAGAAGCGCGGCGTGTGATGGGCTTCGGCCAAATCAACGTGAAACCTCCGCAAAAGAGAGAGTGCCACACTTTTGAGCTCCATGAGAGCGATTTCTTTCCCCAAACAGACCCTTTGTCCAGCTTGGAAAACCGGGTACTGGAAAGGGTTTTTTTCTTGGCAAAACACGCCATCTTTCAGCCACCTCTCGGGCTTGAATTCCAAGCAATCCGAACCCCAAATATTGGCCATCCGGCCCATTGCGTAGGGATGATAAGTAACCCTGGTGCCTTTCCCGACAAGCGTCCCGTCCGGTAAAACTTCCGCTTCAGAACAGAATTTCGAATCGAACTGAATCGGCGGGTACAACCGCATACTCTCCAACACGGCAGCATGCAAGTAGTGAAGCTCCCGCAATTGATCAACGCTGGTGAGCTGTTGATTAGGCCCAATAACTCGGTCCGCCTCGATTTGGATCGCGGCCTCAACTTCCGGGTGGTTGGCTATAAGCCAAAAGAAACTCGTCAGAGCGGAGGCCACGGTGTCCCGGCCCGCCAAGAGGAAGCTCACCACGATATCACGCAAGTAAGTTTCATCGTTAACCGAGCCCATAAACCGGGATAGTAGATCTTTATGTTGGGTAAAACCTAAGCTACGTCGTTGACGAATGACCTCTTTAGCTAGCAAATCGATGTTTTTTATTGCTTTTCTAAGTCTCTTCTCGCTGCCGATGTTTAACAGTCTCTTGATCTTCCACGTCATCGGAGAAGCCGTCATAGCCCTCTCCGCGGACAACCTGGAAGCCAAGTCAAAGGACACAGCGAATTCGGACAAAGGTAAAGAAAGCTCCAAGCATTTCGGGTCCAACCCAAAGGAAAATCTACATATGCAATCAAAAGAGAATCTTTTAAAAACGTCTTGGAAATCGAGAACCTGGTCTTCTCCTTCTTTTTTCCCGTCTGATGACTTGCTGAATAGAAGAGGAAGAAGGCGATTTTGGACCTCGTGTAAGACGACATCAAAAGCAAAAGATCTCAAGGAGGTTTTATTGAGCTCGAGGCAGGCCATTTTGCGCTGGAATCTCCAGAGATCGCCGTCGACGTTGAAGATTCCACGGCCGAGGAAGTCGCCGAGGATAGCGGAAAAGGGCTTGCCTTTGGGGAAATTGTCGAACCGGGTCTTGAGCATGTACTCCACGTTATCCGGGTTGGCGGTGATCACGTTGCCCAGCACGTGGATATGAATGGTCTGAGATGGGGACTCCCGGAGGAGATGAGTGTACCAATCGCATAAGTTTTGGAACTTGAGGGACCAACTTGCAGTTACATAAGTGTCGCAAATGGAGCATTTACACCACACCCTTGGCTTCCTATTGGCGTAGAGGGAGTAGTATTTTTGGAATAACAGAACCAGAAAAAGGGCCGTCAAAGGAACAATCAAAAGGGAACAGCATATTGGAGCCTCATGAAAATGATGAAAAGAAAAAGAAATCTGAGGCTCCATCTTTACGGATTGGTTCATCATGATGATAGTGATGATGAGTAAGAACTAATAAAAGAGCAGAAAGAGAGAGACAAAGAGATGGGGAGTGTGAGGAGTTTTAATGGGCTAGCTATATATACACCGTCCCACGCCTACAGCCAATGACCTCATTGTTATAGTGTTTAAAAATTTGTGTAATGTTGGTTTTTTCAAAAGAGTACACATTGAACCGCATAACTACACTAATTAACGTAGTCCGTATGAATATATAAGAAAAGATGTCACTGTCCCAAATCGTCCAAATCAAGCTTCCTCGCGATATATCTTATGTAAGAACTAGATCATCCCATTACTATTAATTTTTTTAAAAGAAAAATACAAAAAAGTGAGCACATAAGGGGCAAGAAAATACTATCTCCATTTTTCTTATCTGTTGCACATAAGGGGCAAGAAAAATGAGCCTTTTTTTTTTTACATGTGACACTTTATTTTCAATGTAATATTAAATACAATATTTCTAATTTCACCTCTATGTCAATATATTTTTAGTAATATATATTAATGACAACTATAGACTTTTTTGCTTTAATTTTTAAACTTTTATATAATTTCAATACTTCTATTGATAGCAAGAAGAATATTATACTTAGAAAATAAAGTTTCAATCTTTATCTATTTAATATCTTTCCATATATATCTTATTGCGACCGATAAAAAAAAAAATTAGTATATACATGTACAAGTACAAGGGAAAGAAAGAAAAAGAGGAGAGAGCAAGCATGGATAATGCATGGGCCAAAGCAGAAAGTCAGTTAGAAGACGCATCTTGAGGCACCCACCTAATCCTCATAGGCCACTACTATACTACTCTAAAGTAAGTGTTTGTGTGTGTGTATTTTGTGTAGATTGAACCACGTGCTATTCTTTCATCAGCTGTATCATGTGTATGCGGGAAGCTCACGGTTTTAGCAAAATGGATAGAAAACGGCTCAGGAGATGGGCGGCAAGTCGGCAACCCTCGTGGCCGGTTTTTGCTTCATTGGTCTTCATGTTCGCAAGGGTTAACTTCAGCTCTCAATCAACCTTTTTTTTTTCAGGGTAAAAGAAACTTTGTTTTCCATTACTTTTCAAGTTTTCATTGTGATGTGATTTCATCCCAATCATTTCATATGTTTTCCAAATCATACTATCTCGTTTTAAAATAAGAGTAACGTTATTAAGCTTAAATTAATGTGACAGACATCCTAATTATTTTCAAACAGAAAAAAAAATTACGATATGTCAAAGCAGTGTAATACATAGTTTCGTCTATAATTTCCTTTTGTACACCAACTGATTCGATGTCCCTTGGGATCAATATGGAAGATATATCCATCTATTTTGTATTTATGCTCTACCATCCGCGTTACTTAGCCGTTGAGATTTAAAGTTACAATACTGAAATCTAAGTTCCCAAAAATAACATACTAAAAAATAATGATCTCAGCATAGTTTGTGGGTCTTCCTGGTGTTTTAAAATCTTAAAATATACGTTTCCCCAAACAAGTTTTTTTAAATGGTCTCAAATCATTAACTAGTGCAAACGCGAAGTAAATAAACCCCCCACATGTTTTTTTTTTTTTTTGAAGCCACACTAGAACAAAACTTTTACATGCTAATAGAATAACCAGCTAGAACTCCCTTCTCAATTCTCATCACACAGAATTACGACTTATTTTGAAGGAGTTGCTTGATCCCCCGGGGCAAACTTTCTTAGAAGATAAAATAAATCAGACACTTTTTACCGTTTCGTGTGTATTTTTAAACCCTTGATTAAATCTTAGTTGCATCCTTAATACTACAATCAATCAACCATACATACAATAATAACGTCAACATGTGACACTGCAATGAAACAAAAAAACAAAGTCATATATAATAACGTCAAGCCTTTTTTTTGGTATAATAAAAGAAGGCTAATGCCTAAAATTCACTATCAACATGTGATAGTTATATCAAAGTTGTCCAATCCAATTCCTGTACATGATCTCTCTATAAATTCTATAATTTTTCTGGTCTTGAATATCCCATACTATAATTGACTAATAATATCATATGACGTCATTGTCGTGCTTGATACAAATTGAAGAAACTCATGGACAAACAAATTGCCTCATGTAGTATTATCAAAACTTGAGAAATTTATTATAAATTTTGTCAATATTTGGTGGGCTAAATTGTAGTTCGCTCTTTAAAAAAAAAGACTTTTTTTGTTTAAAAATATATTTTTTTGAAATAAAAATTATATTATATTACTTTATTGGAAATCGTCCAGCAACAATTGATAATGAAAGATGCAGTCGAAACAAGAACACAACTTACAATTAAACTTAATACTATTATTATGTTTCTCGTGGATAAACCTATTTAGATCTACCCAATATAACGATGGATATACCACATGCCAGATAATCAATATAATTAAAAACATATCTCTAATCATCTGATGAAATCTTCAAATCATAGATTTATTAAACCGCAGAGTGTGAAGTAATGACTGAAACAACAGATATTGCAGCAACTGAATCTTCTTGAACTGCAAAGTGTGAAGCAACGAACGAAACGAAGGATATCACAGCAACAATACGGAAGACATCACAAACGATACAAGCAAGGACGAACCTAGGGGGGAGCAAGAGGGGTCTGTCGACCCTGCAGTGGGCAAATTTTTTTGAAAAAATACTTTTAGATTTTTCTATATTTTTCGGGAAAAAAAATTCTAGTTGTAGTCAACCCTACAAATATTCGGGGCTAGTTCCATCACTAAATGTAAGAAAAATTCTACTCTCTTAATAGATTATAATTAATCTACTGAAAGAACTATATTTTAAGGGACAAATCTTACTTATTAAATGATAAAAAAGAACTATAAAATAAGAAAAATGCCACCTTCCTTAATCAAAAGTAAAATCATCAAGGAAAGAAATTTTTTTTAAGAGGCGGCTAGGATTTTAAAAAAGATATATTAGTGACCTTCTATTTTACTTAATCACTTTAAAATCAAGGGAAGTTATTCGTTTAAAAAGAATTAAGTCTCTGAATGAGTAATTAGTACTCCATTATATTTAATCAGTACCATATTGTCTTGCATAAGCAACGAACGACAACGCATGTTGCAGCACTCGAGCATATTCAGTTTGTTTCATGTACTTCCAATTTAAAAGCTTAATTTACGTACTTAAGTGATATTATTCTATATATGTGCAACAAGAAATTTAGGAAATTTTAAATGGCTAATTCAGATCTTGACCAAGCTTATTACGAGTTATTTTACTTACGTGCGATTATACAAATCTATTGAGTGAGCCAGTTTCTAAGGCCAACTTTCCCACGAACAATTGGCTCTTCAATAGAGAATTAACATATTATTTTTGTATTTTCTTTTTGGAAAAAAAATGTAATGAAGGAGAAAATAATAATTAACACACCCATAAACTCTAACAACCTCGCAATCAATTTTCTTCTTTCTTAAGAACAAATCATGGCCGATTGTTTGTGAATTTTAACAGTACGTACATCACCTTTATCTAGCTCGTAGCTGGATATATATGCTCCTTCGGCCCTTATAAGGCATATGGATTTGTTTTAGGTTTAATCTTAGTATGTTTTTTCAATCGAAAAGAAATTTTTAAATATAAATTTTCATATTCATTGTGCATTCTTCTAATTATTAAGAAATATTTTTAAATTTTTTTTTTAATTAAAAAAAATACAATATTAAATCTAGAATAAATTCAAATTCTTTATAATAAGGACCGGAGGAAGTACATCATAACTATAATCTACACAACTCCTTTACGCTATTGAAATTTGTTCCGTTATCCCTCAAGTACGATATGATATATTCACCAATCATGTAGTGTTTAAAAACAAATTATCACTTTCACCCACAATATTACAAGCTCACTAATGTGTCCAGATGCACCTATTCTAGTTATATATACCCATTGTAGTAATTTTAGATGTCTTCGAATTGACACTAGTAAGTGCGGCCTAAAACACCCTAATTGTCGAACGGCGAGTCGGCGAGGAAAGTCCTTCTCCCTTCGTGAACGGTTTCAATCTTTTGTTCTTCTCATTTAATGAAAACAAACCACTGGCTGACACAGTCACAGAATTCAGCTGAATCTTCTCGACATAAATGGAGGCCGTAAACATAATATTTCATTGGTGAATAACATATATAAGTATGTCAAATTTTGAGTATTTATTAAACCCTGTAAATAGGATAATGATAGGTGAACGAGAAAATTCATCCAATAAACACATTTTGTTTTTATTTTTGTTTACGGAAGACATATGTTTATACAATATAAAAGGGAAACTAGTTACATCTTTCTACGACATTTGAATCCAAAATAGAATGACGGGGTAATGACTCGATACACTGGATGACATATAAACAAACTTTACGAGTTGAAAGTTTAAATTGATTTTTGTCCTAAATAAATTAATGAGATCAGATAATTCGTTATTGTATCATACGTTCTGTGCTGCTACGACAGTTTATTTCATTTAAAAATCAATTACAGCATTGTCAACTTGTGAAAGAGCAATGTGCATAAAATATAAGTACATAAGAGCATTAAACTTATAGAAAAAAAAAGAAGGAAAAGGTTGTCATTAATCTAATCCATAGGACCAAGGACGTACGAGACAAGGAGGTACAGCGCTTACAAGTCCTCATATGGGCATTATTTTTATTCTACTAGAAATAATTTAAGATTATACATATGTCATGGATGACTTCATTTTCGCATGCTTTATCAAAACCAAAATGAAAAGGAAAAGTTAAACTGGCAAATTTGTTTGCCAGAGCAAGAAGCTTGATCGACTGTTGGTTAATATATCCACAAAGATCTCCACTGAATAATTGCTTGATGATTTGATTCCCGTTGATGCATCTCACAGTAATAAGATATTCCTCTAACAATTGGTCCTTGTCCAATTGGAAATAGAGGAAAATGATATATATAAAAAATAGTGACAAAACATAGTGACTGATGTGGACTAATCATGACATCTAGTTTTTTGTCACTTTTACGTTGAAGTTTTATTTCTTTTTTCCTAAAAATTACATTTTTACTCTTAATTAATTACTATACATGTTTAGAAAGTGTGATGTATTTGTATTTTTATTTGTTATTATCCAAATATAATTTTTCATATGATTGTTCTTATTTAAAATACTTCCTAACTAGAGGTTTCAGGTTCGACCTTCCATGATTTAGATTTATTTCTATTTCTCCAATACTCTTCTCTAAGTTCTTTGGTTATTTTTTAAATAAAATTGTTTTTATGGGAACCCCACGTTTGGTGATGCAAATAAAAATAAATAAAAAAATATGTAAAAAATAATTATTTTGTAATGGCGGGACATAGATGATAGTAATAATAATTTTATATTGGGTAGGTCATTGTGATTGAGATTTGATGACAAAATAATTGAAGTTAGGATCTCCGCTAATCACTACATCTGATAAAAAAA